GATATTCGAGGAATTCCTTTTGGCATTCGATCTGAATCTCGAGAAAGTCGCGGTTTTCAGCCGCGCCGCCATCTTTCCCCGTCTCGATCGATTTTGCCACGATTTCTTCCTCTCCTCATCCGCCGCGCGGCCATGTCTGCCGCCGCACAGGCGTCGTTTCGTAGCCTCCTGGTATAGCAGAAGGCGTCGATTTAAATACGACAGCCGTAGGCGAGACTCGGTAGGGTAACTTTCTCTCACTCTTCAGGGTACCGAATAACGATTATTACGCGTGACTCGTCGAAACCAAAATGGTCACCGGGTGGCCGTCGGTCTGTCCCGTCTTCTTCTCTCTCTTCTGCTATTCTTCTTCCTAACACGAAGAAATGCTTCGTAAATCTACCATCGGACAAATTTCAAATTCCTCCAAGTCCCATCGAGATAAGTCACGAAATCCTGAACCTGGATCTTCCGACAATCTTGGGAACCATCGAAACGGTCAAAGTGACTCTCACTTTGCTCATTTTTATGTTCGTTCGGCTGAAAACGTAATGGTACATATGGCATATACGTAGGTGTGAGAAAAATCGTTGCTAGATGTTACTCTTCGAGTTGAAACGCACAGTGTCAACTGTATTTCGAATTTCCGTTGCGAGAAATTGTATGCAAGGTGGATATCGCATCGAATTCGGCTTTGGTTAAGGAAAATAATGCATGCCAGTCGCCAGAAGCACACTTGCGTTGGAAGCTCGTGTCGGAACGAGAACGAAAGCGGCGTAAATGAAAAACGGTGTTTCCCCGGCCGGGATCTCGATTCGGGTCAGCCAGTCGGCGACGGGGTACCGATTTACGAGGACGTAGCGTGGCCCAGGAGCAAGAGAGCGCAGCGGAGAACGGAAACAGCGACGGGGAGACCAGGACAGGTGGCCCCCGGTGCGGACGTCGTTCTGCTCCGTTCCCTCGGCTCGTGAACGGGCTTTAATCGCGGCCGTTCTCGCTCCGTTGCCCGACTACGTCGTATTTTATCGCTGTCTCGCTGGAACTGTTGGAACAGCAACGGACCACGGGGCAGAAAGAGAGGAAGAGGTCGGTTCGCCGGTAGAGAGGAGGTAGAACGGGAACGGGCCCGATTTAACGAGCATTTACGATCCTCCGAGAGGGAGAATCAATCGTGGATGGACCCAAATATCGCGGACACGTTCTCCATTTACCCGTCCTTAGGGAATTTCTCTTCTGCGTTTCTTTATTTCTAGTTTCGCGGACTAACGTCGTGGGAAAGCAGGCAATCGTGGATCTGCTCGCTCCGAGATCCCAAACCCAAGGAGAATTGGCCGAGAATGGACCCAAATGTGTCGCGAACTGGTTTCGTTTCTCCATTTCTGCGCAATTTTTCTTCGTTTTTGGGTTTGGTAGGTTAGCATTGTTAAAGAATGTCTTAAGAACTCTTAAATATCGTGGACACATTGTCCATGTATCCATTTCTAGGGAATTTTTCTCCGTTTCTTTGTTTCTAGGTTTAACAGGTTAGGTTAGGTAGGAGAAGCGTCTTTCGAGAGACTCTTTTAGGTTAGTTTCGAGATCCTTTGTTCAAGAATGGGCTTATATATCACGAGTATATTGTCCATGTCCATATTTCTGGGGAATATTTGTTTCGTTGCTGTTTTTATTCCTATTTCCGACAGACTGCCGTTTTGACTGACATTTTAGGTTAAGTTTACTACCCTTCGAGAGAGAAATTCGACGGACGTTGAACTCGAACATCGCGAACGCGTTCTTCGTTTATCCATCCCTAGGGAATTTCTCGTCGTTTCTTTATCTCTAGACCAGTTAGGCTACTATCGTAAAAAGAAATCCAAGAGTGGATGTTCCGAGCAACTCGTTTAGGTTAGATTTACGATCATTCGAGGAGATGGACCCATCTCACTCTTCCTCTGAGTAATTTCCTCGTTTCTCCCTTTATTCCTGACTCTGGGGAACCACCATCGCGGGAAAGGATAGAGCGGTGGCTGTTTTGGGCGAGCAGTTTAGGTTAGCTTTACGGTCGGCCGAGTCGTTGCCGTTTTGCACGCCAGAGGCTCCTCGCTGCCCCGGCGTGGTTGTAACACCGTGGAGCGTTTCTTCGTGCACGTTTCCCGATGTAAAATCGTGAAACGCTAAAGTGTGACGCGGCGACTGGTTCGACACGCAGAGTTCGCGAAGGGGTGAGGAATGCGGAACCATTGGTTGATATCAGTACGCCTCGATAGCTGCCGCGTAACCAGAGTCCGGGTAAACGAATCGAAGCGAAAAACAAAACGGAAGGGAAAAAAGAAGGGAAAAAAGGAGGAAAAAGCGGAGAGGAAATCGTTATATGGAAAATGATACGGAGAAGCAGTGATCGGGGGCCCGATCGACGATGGATCGGAGCGGCGGCGAACGCGACGTAATAATAACGGAACTGTGCACGGTTCCACCGTCCACGCCGATAAGGGAATCAGGTCATTTTCCACGAAAGTGCCGATGATGCGCCACGCGATTCGCGCGATTCGCGGAATAATTGGAGAAAGTCGGTGAAAAGCGACGGGTGCTGCCCTATGATCCTACGTAGAAAAGGAAGGAGGAGAGGAAAAGAATCGCTCAGAGCGAAGTACACCCACTGGATCGAGCCTTTTGATGTTTAGGAGAACCGTCACGGTCTAGGAAACGTGGGAATAATAGATGCCGGATTTACACGGTTCGCGGCGCACCGAGTTCTCCGGTGTGTTCACCGCGATGCTCGTTCTCACCTTGTTAGATCGAGCGTCGCGGCGCGGCGGGACGCGGGAGAGGGAGAAAAAACGGCGAGCCGAAGAAGACCATTAAATTACAATACAAAATGCCAGCGAGTGAAACGTGTCTGGATCGTGACTATCGTCGTCGAACGGAAAAAACGGCTTAATATACCCGAGCCGAGCGCTTAGATCGCTCGAGTTTCTTCTCGGGCTGCCGGCAAAAACTGCTGTTCCCGCTTAATCCGCGATAGCTAGGCGCGAGGTGGTTAAAAAAAGGGGACACGGGACGAATCTCTGTTGTCCATCTGTTGCCGAGCCAACGGACACGCGTATTCGTCTTTATTTCGCTAATCGGCGAATCTTTCGTCGCGAAAGGAAAGTCCCTGGGACGGTTTATTTATCGAGTTGTATAACGCGTACCCCGAGACAGCCGGGGTAATTAACGAGACACTAGATCACCATTAATTAGATATACGCAGCCAGGACGGGAAAAGAAGTTGCCCGACGGAGGAAAGGAAAAAGTGTACACCTTATGGACGTTTCCTCGACCTTCGACTTCTCCGCGGCACGGAAACTCTTCTCTTTCTGTCCATAAATCTCGCGGGAACTGCCGATGCGGAGAAGATGGAAACTGGATATACACGCGGCGGAAACGCGTGAGTCAGTGATGCCTCCGGAGAAAACGACATCGTTGTACGAGTTTACCGTGGAAGCGAGGTCCCTCTCTTTCTCTCTCTCTCTCTCTCTCTCTCTCTCTCCTTCTCTCCTGTGTCCCTGGGTGCGTTGACCCAGCTTACGGTAACCCAGGCCGAGTGTTGCACCTGCCTCAGCGTGGACTTACCGGGATAAAGGGTCGTGCGACCCGAATTACTTCCATCTCCTTCATCCTTGGTCGCGCCTTGCCTCCGTGTAACCCGCGAAATCGCGCTTCGACTCGATCTGCCGGTCGATCAGCTGCGAGAAGCTTGCCTTTAGGTTGGCAAGAGACTGTCCTGGATTACGGTATATGTGAATGAACCGAGTCGTAGAACCGACATGACTGGAAAAACCTTGTTTACGAACTTGTTTCTCCCAACGGAGATTTTAACGAGCGCCAGGACCTCCAGACACCGCGAACGGTCTCCGCCATTTTTATTCCGTGCGTTATAATTCTCCAGCGAATGGTACCCCGTGACATTTTCATCGCTTCCACCAGCCGGCCAAAAACGCTCGCCATTCAGCAACGGGTCTCCTTATTTCTCGGAACGTACATAGACCAGCGTGCCATTTAATGGCCCCTTAATCGTCGCATCCTCGCTCCAAGCCGTTCAATTACACAAAGCGATCGCAGCGGTACCGCCCACGTCTTAACTGCCTCAACTGCTCACCGTGATCGTATTAATCTGTAATTTGCATAGCTCGACCCATTCAGCGCGCACTGCGGGTTCCTTCCTCTTCTCTGCGAACGTTGAACCACTTTCAACGGGGCCCGAGCAACAACGCGATAGTCGCGGTGCCAGCCGAGCCGGCCGAAGAACAAACTTCCAATGGCGTAACATAATTTTCCCCGTCGCGGAAAGGATCGTGGGGCCATTAGCCAGGCGCTGCCATAAATTTCATCGCAGATGACGTACGGTACAAGGAACGGCACACGAGCAATACTAGAGTCGATCGAGCATCACGAGGATCAGAAATAGAAGCGCCGGCAGGTTCTCCGTTCCGCGTGTGCCCGTGGTACACACGCAGCAAGGATGAAGACTCGAGGGGAGGGCACGCGAGGAGGTCTCCTCTTGACCTCACTTTCTAGAATCCTTTAAGTATATGGCGCCTTCCCGGCCACGGCTCGTTTATCCATTATCGATGAACGAACGCGCGCCGCTTCCCTGACACACGATGTGTCTCTACTAACCGAGATACCGCTGCCCCGTACAGATTCTTCGTGACAGATGGTCCCGGCTGTCAAACTCGCGGACTCGTTTAAGTGGAACGTCTGGCCCGATCCGTCTCACGCGGAAGTCGTGGCCCCATGAACGCGTGGCCGTTTTTGCCTTTTCGCTTCTTCCTCCCATCTTCCTCCCTTCTCGAAGTCCGCACGAAAATGAGCAACGCGAGTTTTTGCCGTTATTACACGGTTCTTCACGCGGAACGTTTACCTCGTTCGGGTGCAACGTTTCGCTCCCGAACATTATCATTCCCGGTTGCCAGTATGGCAATTCAGAGTTCGTACACCTGCGACACGATTTTCCATTTATTCCGACTCTTTTGCTAAGCTTTAAAAATCCTTGTTCGCAGATCTGGCCCAGATCCGAGCGCTGGTGGAGTCCACGGGGATGCTAGGTGGCTCGACGTGTCCATCCTGCGAGATGCCGTTCGACAAAGGGAAGAAACGCCGATTGATCGACTCGTGCGGCCACGAACGCTGCTATTCCTGTCTCTTCCGCAGCGAGGCATGCCCGCTTTGCCTGCGCGCCGACTTCAACGACGACGACGGCCTGGAGGGACCCTTCAGGGAGGGGTTCACCGGCTCCTCGGGCCCCATGTCCATCCTCGCGCCCACGGATGGCTGGATCGATGAGTCATCCACGGTGAACTCTCTCTGCGGCAGCCCCAGACCTCGCACGAAAGTCACCACGAGAGCCAATCTTCCGTCACGAGTCATGCACGTAAGCATATCATCGTCGTCCTCTTGGAGTCGCGTCGAGTAACACTTTCTTGCATCCTCGACGCTTCGCCCGCGCCTCTCCGACGTTGGAATGCCTAGGTCGTTTGCTGGCTATTGTTCACCGTTGTTCCCCCTGGTCGGTTGCATTCGCGTAATTCTAGGGATCTAGGGGGAACGGCAATTAGAATGTCTAGAAAGTACTTTCCGACACGTTTTCTGCGACGTTTCTTTTTTCCTTCGATCCATCGAACGATGCTTCACAGTTGGAAAAGTATTTAGAAAGGATCGTAATTAGAATTCTTGGGCGTTCTATTAAGCAAATGTCGACCACTCAGGGTTTCTCGTTTCTCTCTTCCTCAGCAGCGAGAGACGGACGACAGCGTCTCTTGCATTGGCACGACCAAGGGTCTGAAGAACAAGCCACCGGTACTGCCGGAGTCGTCGTCGTCTCAGGGCCGGCAGAAGCTTCAGATGATGACGCAGAGTATGTAAACAGTGGATAACAAGCGTCAATAGGAAGAACAAGCGCAAGGGACTGATACAAAATCGCTGTTGCAGGTTGTCCAACCCCGCCGAATCAGAGGAAGCGGTTCTTCCTGAACCCCAAGGTGCTCAGAAGCTCGTTCGTTCCCCAGAGGTCGTCCAGGCGAGGAGCATCGTCTCCGGAGCCAGTGGCGAACGACAATCCCTCTGCCCTGTCAGGTAATTATACCATTTCGCATGGTGGATGAAAGGTTTTATCGAGTACGATAAAGATGAAACGCAGCAGGATGGCAGCTTGCATTAATTATTAATCGTGAACCACACGCGTGTAGCTTGGATGGCCTCGTCTTGGGAGGGGAAGTCTCGATGGCCGGGTGTAGTGCTGGGGAAAATCAAATCGTTGTGGAGCAACAGTCAAGGGACAGCGAACGATGGGCTGAACCAGCTCATCGACTCGAGGAACAAAGTCACAGGCAGGGAGAACACTTTAGCAAATCGAGTGTGCATCCTCGTGTGTTTAGAATCGATACTGTGTACAGGCTGCTCGAATGATACCCTCGTTCCACTACCCAGTAATTTCTTGTTTGTACCACTAGCACTTTCCCGTCCTCCCTTACACATCCGGTAGAGCACTAGCCGAGTTGCAAGCATGTCCCGTCGATTATCGACACTCTCGCGTGGTGTGTTTGTAGCACGAACTTCTCCTTTCAGCCAACAGACTTGCGCGACCAAGTCTTCGCGAAAGGGCGTTCCAAAACTTTCGTTAGAACCCTACACCGAGGTAACATCGGTATCTAGTGGATCCTGCATCTTGGAAATATATGTGTCCCTGTGTGGTTTTCACCTTATGCATCGCTCTATCCGATCGGATCCTCGTTCGTATATGAATGAAAGTTTCTTTCTTTTCGCAGATGACGAAGGAGGTTGCGTCAAGCCCCTGTCCTCAAAGACGAGGAAGTCGTCCCAGTCGGACCTGCACATGAGGCTCGGCCTTCTTCTAGGCACGAATCACACTCGCGCGAGCAGCAGTGTAGACACGACAGACTTACCCGGTGCTTCGAACCGTTCCAGTGCAGGTGCATGCCAGTCCAGAATCCCTATTCAGGGCCACGACAGTTCGGCAGCCTCGTTCAGTAGCCTAACCAGCTTCGAAACGCAAACTCTAGCCTCGACGAACACCAGTCCAGTGTCCACGTTGACTGGCACGTCCAGCGAGGCAGAAGCTGCCGCAGCTTTGAGGTGTCCTATTAAGCCTAAGGCGAAGATAAAGGGAAAGTGCAAGTCCAGGGACTGCGACAGTGCTGGAAGCTTAGCCTCCATTTCCACGTCGGTGTCCGCCTCTACGTCCATGTCGATGTCCATGTCTGTATCCGTTTCGGGCCTGTCGAACGGTAGCTCGAGCCCTCTTACTCCTAGAAGACATTCCGTGAACGCCTCGCAACCTGGTCAAAGCGACGAGCTAGGTCAGTTCAAGAACAGACGGTCCTGCGCCCGGAGGTCGGCCAGAGCTGGGAACGTCAAGGGAGCCGTTGACACGAAACGTAAATTTCTTTGTAACGTCCAGGTTTCTTACACCAGACATCGTATTTGTCACGTCTGACAATGGTATTTCCTTTTTAAGTGCGCTTCATACAACACCACGCAACGCAACTCACCCTCAAGCCCCTGTTCTTCGAAGTACCCTTGCTAGAAGCCGATCCCCTGTTCACTGGTCGCCAGTGGCTGTTACAGGAACTGGAATCGGTAGTGAACGGCTCCAGTCCCGGAGTTCTGATCTCCGGATCCCCTGGAACGGGCAAGACCGCGCTGGTTCTGCAACTGGTGGAACACAGTTGCTTCGGGAGGAGACGGGAACAGCCTCTTGCGTCGGAACTCGGCGAGGAAATCGGCGAGAAAGAGAAAACCAGCTGCACTACTGCGTTGCATGCTAGTATTCGTTACACCAACGAGAAGGTACCAAATTTTTCCTATCCACGATTAAAATTCTTTCTTGCCGAACTTAACAAATAACCGGGAAAAATTCCGATCCTCAGGTTAGAGAATTAGCGTCCCACGTTGTAGCGTATCATTTCTGCCAAGCGGATAATAACAGTACCTGTTTGGTACCAGACCTGATTCATTCGCTGGCCGCACAATTATGCCAAGCACCTCAACTCATCTCCTACAGAGAGTACCTGCTCTCGGAACCACATATACAGGGTTCTTTGTCGCAAAGAGAATGCACTGTAGATCCAGATCTAGCATTGTCGAGGGGTATCATCGAACCCTTGTCCACGTTGAAGAAGACAAACAGACTGCCTGATACCAATATGGTAAGAAGGAAAACGATTCGTATAATTATAACTTTTCATTGAGACAAAGAGACCTGGCAATAAGAAACGTGAACTAAATGTAATCTTGCATCGGCAGGTAATATTAATCGACGCCGTCTGTGAAGCCGAATACCACAGACCAGACCGAGGCGACACCATAGCGTCCTTCCTGACGAGGCACGCACCCAATTTCCCTAGCTGGTTGAAAATAGTTTGCACAGTCAGGACACAATTGTTAGAGTGTGGCAAACAGTTACCCTATACTAGAGTCTCGCTAGATAGAGCACCCAACGACAGCACCGCAAGCAACGTAACGAGAGACCTGTCCGACTACATTGGGTACAGATTAGCTCAGAGTCCGGCGATTCAGACGAACGTCACGGCATCGGTGAACGGAAAGACAGAATCGTCGTGCAGCGCGAACCAGACGAGATTCGCCTCCCATCTGCTCGCGTTAGCCAGAGGCAGCTTTCTCTTCGCGAAGCTGACGCTCGATCTTATCGAGAGCGGTCACCTGGTGGCTAAATCTGCCAGCTACAAGGTGAATAGAACATCTCACGCGTATCTCGCTTTCGCGTTAGATACAATGATGCATCTCTCTTCCTTCTTTCTCTAATTTTACTGCCAGGGTTAAGGATTCTATAATCGACGTAACGAGGTTGGAACGAATCGTTTCAGGTGCTGCCAGTTTCTCTAGCCCAGATCTTCCAGCTACACTTCAACCTCAGGTTCCCCACAGCCACGTCCTTCGACAGGGTGCAACCTCTATTAGGCGTTTGCTTGGCTGCTCTGTATCCCCTGACCCTGCCAGAGATCTTCTACTCGGTGAACTCTCTGAACACTGACCACTTCGTTTCATGGGAGGATTTTCTACAGAGATTCAAGGTAAGTAGTACACAGATCTTGCAACAGATGAAAACACGCTTTGTAATCAGTCCGTTTGTTATTGCCTGTCGCTGCATTTCATTGGACCACGTAAGTCTCAGCTGTCTTTCACCATAGTGAAGCATTTTATAACAATTAAACGTTCCGTATAAAGATCCTATCCTCCCTTTCGCAATCAAAACCCGCCCATTCGTTGTACAACAGCCGGGTGTTCTCTCGTTATCAGATGCTCTCTGGATTCCTCGTGAAACGTCTGGACAACACGTACATGTTCTTCCATCCGTCGTTCAGGGAGTGGTTGATGAGAAGGGATGAGGGCGAATCGACGAAATTCCTCTGCGATTTGAGGCTCGGCCACGCGGCCATCGCGTACAGGCTGTCTCGCCTTCAGGCACCATTAGACGGCGATAAAGCCCTCGAACTGGGTCATCATATACTGAAGGCGCACGTTTACAGAGGCGTTGCCCCGTGTTGGCCTTCGCGCGATCTACAGGTAACCACCTGCTTCTCATTTGCATCCGAGAACGATCTGTTACAATAGAACTTTTACTCGATTACGAAATATCCTTTCCCACCTTGGCCAGGCCATCTGGTTAGCATCGTCCACGGAATGCGTCTCCTCCGCGCTATGCACTTTGAGGAACATCTACAGCCCGAACGTGAAGGTCTCGAGGTTGCTTTTGCTGGCAGGAGCATCTCCGAATCACATCACCGAGTACCTGGGCAACGCTCCAGCCCTTTGCATGTACGCCCACGAGGGTTCCGTCGAGATGGTGTCGTTGCTGCTGGAGTTTGGAGCGGATGTCGAGCTGACGAACAGTCAGGGATGCACAGCTCTCTCGTTGGCGGCTGCTCGTGGTCACTGCGACGTGGTCAGAAGGTAAACGAATTATAATCGACAACCCATGGTAAAGTTAATCGATCGAGAGTGTTAGAAAAGCAATGCAAGGCTAAATTCGAAAATCCTGTGAGAAATGTTGCAAAAGAAACATCGGAATCTACAAATCCGTTACGTTTGTATCATCCTGTATATCCATACGGAACATATCTCGAGACGGTGAAATTGCAATTCAGGTTAGCCGCTGCTGGAGCTTCATTGGGTCACACAGACATGGCAGGACAGTGTCCTTTGGTGCACGCAGCGAGGCACGGAAGATTGTCGGTAGTCGGCTACCTGCTAGCCTGCGACTGGGTAGTCCCAGCCAATGAAAGCGAAGCCGAAGGATCGCAGGACATAGGCAGAGAAGAAGCTGCCCAACAGGCTGTAGTCGCGGCAGCAGCTCAGGGTCACGAATCCATCGTCGAGTACCTGTTAGACATGGCCGAGGTGGTCGTGGATCGACCTGACACTCTGATAGGGGAGACTGCCCTGACTATCGCGGCTGCAAACGGTTCCACGGCCACTGTCTCAGCTTTGTTGGCTCGAGGAGCAAGTCCAACTGCTGTGAACGCAAAGGGACTATCTCCCCTGATGCTGGCTGCGAGAGAGGGACACTGGGGCACTGCCGAGAGACTCCTACAAGGTTAGTATCAAGATCTATTCTCTATCGAGTCTCTATCAAGACTGTGATGTGACCGTGTGACGAAATCGCTGCAGGTACCCTCTCAAGCAGCACCGACACCATTCTGGATGACGCAGCATCTCTCCTGGACCAACGAGATCCGGCTGGTCGCACTGCGCTGATGTTAGCAGCCTCGGAAGGTCACACGAACTTGATCGAACTGTTCCTGGACAAAGGCTCCGTGTTGGAGAGCAGGGACAAGGAAGGACTGACCGCTCTCTGCTGGGCCTGTGTGAGAGGAAGATTAGCCGCTGTGCAGAATCTCATCGATCACGGCGCTGACGTTAACACCAACGACAACACCGGGAGAACCCCTCTGGATCTGGCTGCCTTCCAGGTAAGATACTATTCAGAAAATCAACCTTAAGCAACAAAGCACGGTAATTACATTCCCTCCGAATTTATTGGGTTTCCAAGTCGATCTATTATCGATAGTACCTGAAAACCGACAGTCCTATAATCTTGCGGTCAATATTTTCCCAGGGTAATCCAAAGTTGGTGCAACTGTTGCTCGAGAAAGGAGCAGCGGTCGAGCACGTCGATCTCCACGGAATGCGACCTTTGGACCGAGCGATCGGATGTCGAAACATACCGGTGGTGCAGTGTTTCCTGCGCCGCGGGGCGAAATTGGGCCCCGCGACCTGGGCAATGGCGGCTGGAAAGCCGGACGTTCTATTAATCTTACTGAACAAGCTTCTCGAGGATGGAAACGTGCTGTACCGAAAGAATAGACTGAAAGAAGCGTCGCACAGGTACGCGTACGCGCTGCGAAAATTCCCAGCATCGCCGGAAGAGGACTGCCAGGGGCAGGAGCAGGGTCATATGATGCTGCAACTACAGACGTTTGCGCAACTTCGGCTGAATTTCTTGCTCAATCTCAGTCGATGCAAGCGCAAGATGAACGTGAGTGGTCGTGTATACTGAATGAACTAGGTTTCCTAATACTTTCATTCATACTAGAACGGAGCTATCTAAAGATAAATCACCTTACGCAATTCTACTTCCTCCTTTATATTATATCGTAGAGTACTCGGAGAAGAAACTTTCTAGAGCTCCAGAATATTGAATTTCAACACCGTTTCTATATATCTTCGGCCGTAAATATTTCTTTGCTCGACTCGGTGAATTGTTTTCTAATCGTTTACGAATTTCATTTCACGCAGGAATGTGCGGAAGCAATCGAGCTCGCTGACGAGGCTCTGAAAGTTCGTCCGGTGTCATACGAAGCATTCTACGCGAGGGCAAAGGCACGAGTCGATTCTGACCTCCTGGAAGACGCGCTGTCCGACGTTCAGGAGGCACTGCAGATCGCACCGCCGCAAAATCGGCAGGATCGGCGCGTCCTCGTCGCCCTGAGGGAGGAAATAGTCTCCAGATTGGACGGAGTAGGGACCAGCAAGGGATCAACTGACTCTGCCTGCAGATCTCGTCTTCGGGCGTCAGTCGACACCCTCACAGAGTTGTAATATTACTATTTTTCACGTGAAAAACTTTCCAACTGTTTAATGAGAACACTCCCCTTTCGTGAGGGGAACGACCACAGCGGAAGCTCAAGAGTTTCGTACGTTTATTTAAGTTATGAGCTGATCCTTCCTGAAGTGAACTCGCGATTCCTCGAATTCTCGAACGAAAGATGTCTATCGTGGTTTAGGATTCGCCTTCGAAATTGCTCGAAGGCAATTCGAAACGAGTGGAAGTATCTTGTATTTTTGTTTCTCTTTATCTTTAATTTAACGACTCGTTGCGTACGTTGTACGTACTCGAAGAAATATTCCTCCTCCTTGCGTTTTTTGGTTAATTTTGAAAATCAGCAAGGGCTTACACACGTTTCTCTCTCCTTTTATTTTTCCCCTTTTACTCTGTGCAATTGCATTGCATGACCGTGTTGTTAGGATTTCCTTTTGTACGATGTTCAATTCGATTACGAATCGAATACAGAGTTTAATATATATACATTTTTCTATATATATATATAGTAAATATATATATAAATATTTGTATTATATTACGCGTATGAAAAATTGGTTTTTCCTTAGTGTCGTTGTAATTTAAATGAAAGTTATTTAATTGTTTCCTCCTCTCTGCATCTTTCAGTATTTCTTTCTTTCTTTCTTTTCTTTAAATGTACTACCAGAAAGAAAACCGTGTATACGTAAAACGGAAGAAAGAACTCGTCTATAAAAGAGAATTTTGATATTCCAGCGTTCAACGATTTGTCCAGCCGATACATTAAACATGGCTGCCGTTTTTCCACGCGTGTGAAACGCCACACGTAACGATCTCGCTGACGTATTTATAATGCACTCGCTTGCCAAGCATTTAATTACACCTATTCCTCTGTAATCTGTTACGATTCGACCGGTTTCACGATCGTGTCCGAATTTATGTTAGACAAGGCATGCAAAGTTGCATGAACTTCGGTTACAACTACGATATTATTTGTCTCTGCCTTGGAGCACAGAGGTTCGAAATAAACGAACTTTTTATCGAAAACATTCTACCACCTTTCTTTCCGCTTTCCCTTGAGAAGGTCCCTAGGAGAGCACGATTGATGGGGTAACTGGGAATTCGTTATCGTTCAACTCGCCTTTATTATTTCGGATGATCGGATGTCCCCTGAAATAGGGAGAGCCACGATCGAGGTACGTTGTCCCTTAAATAAGTGTACATCGATTAGAGAGAACTCGTAAAGTGCGTTACGAATACGACGATGACACTCTTGCGAAAGCGAGATAATTTTCCGAGTGAAAATAAAAAGCTGAGAGTACATAGGGAGATAAGCAGAACATAGAGAAAACGCAAATATTATCGTCAAACGAAATCCTTTCAATTGGTACCTTTCCCAAGGTATAGGAAAAACGAAGAAGTATCTTTATCCCGATCCTTTCGGGACAGAGATAAATTGAATAAATAAAACATATAGTGTCGCTTTCACAGGCGTGTCGCCAATTGAGAACGGTGAGTTACGCGTGTTACGCTTCACCTAGAATATCTCCAAGAGTTAGTACCAAGAGTTACGGATTTTGGTCTCGAGTCTGCCGCCATTGCGCGCTAGGCGGCCACTTTTTAAGTACACTTTAGTTCGATTAATATATGCATACGCAAATATCATAAGAATAATCATAAATATCTGGAAATCCGCATGATCACATCGATGAGACCACGAGTCATCGTATACTCCGACGTTAGTGTCGATTGTAGACATTGTACGTATATCGTTTCGCGATCAGAAAGTAGCATTGCACCAAAAACCAGCGCGGCGATCAGAGAATAGCAGATTACACGCATGTACGATTAAATAGAAGAAGTTACAGTCGTCTGCTCTGCAGCTTCCGCGTCGTCGTTTCATACTCTCATATGAAACGACCCATCGACTCCTATCTCTGACTAGCATTCGCCTCGCACGAATCTACATTGTCACTTCCATATACCTTGCTCTGGGACACTTTTGATACATCTGTACGCGATCGAGGATAGTGTATAAAAGAATGTCGAAGCTCGAGTAACATCGTATTTGAACTTTTCATTGAACACGTAGTCTACGTTTGATTGACAAGTGAACGAAGAAGAAACGAGCAATAGCATTTGTACTCACGACCCTGTCGAACTGGTTGTACGATAAATTGAAAAGAAAAAGGACGGGAAAGAAAAACATAAGAAACGAGAGCCGTGTTAAATCGGAACCTTAAATGGTTCGAATCGTTCGAGAATAGGATAGAATTTCATAAGAACAGTCAAACGATTCGTTCATCATCGGAGAAGGATCGTCCACGAAATTGCATAGACCTATTTCCTCGCCTGTCCCCGTGCGATCCCAGTTTAATGATCAGTTCCAACGAGACCACCTGCATCGAATTACCCGTACTTTAGATTCGTTGAGAACTGTGTCACGAATAAATCCATCGGTCTCGTTGGAACCGTATCACGTCTGGGCTCGATTATCCAGCGAAAAGCGAAGCGAATCGACGAGCCGGCTGACGTGGTATGAAATACGAAGCAAACGAAGCGCGTTAGACGATCTTTAAAGTGACGGTAATCGATGACACGGCGATCTATGAATATTTCAACGAACGATTTGCATTCGGAAGATTAGCGACAAACTGTCAATATCCGCGTTGGCCCAAGATGGAAATTGGCCTAGCTTCGAGGTGTTACGTTTACGCAAATCGTTTCAGCTTGATCTTAACCCTTTCGCTACGGGCGGACTCGCCGCCGTGACGAAACTGTGCATCGTCAGAGGCATTTGGTTTGCTGAGTATTGAGTTCCGTAATAAGCAAATATAACAAAATACTAAAATACTATAGCAAAACAAAATACTCACGCTGCATGTCCAGAGTGAGATAATTGATGTGCAATAACTGCAGATGCTCGTCGTATGTACAATACGTGGCATTTTATGGAGAGCGACTATAGTCGCCCATAGTACCTCAGTGGTAATTGATGGAGAGCGATTATAGTCGCCCGTAGTACCTCATTGGCATCATATGGAGAGCGAATATAGTCGCCCGTAGTAGCGAAAGAGTTAAACGCATCGTCGAGGTCTATAGTAGCGATCGTCTGTCGGAGAAAGACCGTACCAAGTTCACTAACCACGTGTCCTGAACACCAGCTCCCCGAATCGCTGTTCGTCGCGTGGAAGCGCGGTCGTGAACGAGATTCCCGACGTTTCCTCGCTGGATCGCCTGCAAAGGGTACCATCGAGGAAAGCTCCCAACGCGTTCGTCGATCATCGTCGTTCCCTGCGTCGATTGTCTGCGGTACCGTTCAACGGGCTGCGACGGAAGATCCTTGTGCCTGGCGAGGAACGCGACAACGAGGACGAGGCAGGAACGCGACGGCGTTTCGTGTGAGGTGCGTGGACGGGACAACAGAGTGTCGAAGACATCACAGAAGCGCGCGAATCGCAAGCTAGTGAGCCTTGTAAGTGCCTTTGTTCTGGTAGCCCTGCACGTAGTCAGATTGGTCGGGCAGGTCCTTTCGACCAGCGATGCCTTTGCCCCTCCCGCTCTCGTCGAATCTCTGCTTGTGCGACCCGGTGTACTTGCTGACGTCCGTCAGTCTGTCTACCGTGGAGGCTGCTTTCCCAGCCTAAAAATTTGCAGGAAATGTACAATAATTCGATGGGAAACGATACAGGGCGACTGGAATGAAACGATGCGTCAGGTCTCGACACTTGAAGGATATTTTCTCGATATTACTCATAAGTCTATAAGTATTTCTCAGGATTAAATGTCTTTTTCTAGAAGACTCTTAGGACATTTAAGAAATATTGGTATAATTAAGACGAAGGTTACTCGTTTATCTCGACGCGTGGGCGAGAATTTAAGATTAATTGCTAGAAATTATGTCCATAGATCTGACGACAACGTAAATCTTCAGTGTCGATACCGTGACGGGCAAGGTCAAGGCAGTAAGTGGGCAAACTGCACCTGCTTTACACCGATGTATGAAATCGTGGGAGAAACTCGTCGCCATCGATCGCACGAGTTGACAGAAACTATGAACCTATGTTCCCTATTCGTGGTCACTTCAGAGATGAACATTGGAATCGACAAACTTCCTTTTGATACTTACACCTGCAGCGCCAGTGACGCCGGGTAGTCCACAGTTGGCCATTTTCTTCTTCATCTCCGTCAAGTCGACCTTCTTGTTCTTGGCCAGCTCCTCCAAGAACGTTTTGTATTGTTCGATGCCTAATTTCATGGATCTAAAAACGAAACGAGTCCCATATAAGTCGTCTAATTCGCCATACTGTCTTAATAATAGATACAAGCTCTCGTACTTGTGTTTCTTGAAATAAATGCCCGTATCGGTAGTGGTGATCTTCTTCGCATCGATCACCTTCGCCTGTTTCATCCATTTGTCGCTCTGACTCAACGTGATCAACTTCCCGTCGCTTTTCGGGTCACCGAATTTCGAGAACGCCTTAAAGTTTGCCAAAAAGCTGCCAGACTGCGAGGCGCCCGGGCTGCTGGGCGTCGAGCTTCCGGTCTCGTCGTCGATTTTCAAATTTGCTGCCTTATTAGCCACAGCCTCCTCCTCCTTCCCGGCATCGTTCGTCTCCTTGGCCTCTTTCTTCTCAGCCTCGGTATCGCTTTTCTCCGCCTGGACGTCGTTCTTCTCTACCTTCGAGTCGTTTTTCTCCGCCTGCATGCTTGCACCTGAAATCGCACGAACGGAATGAGCGAGGAAGCTCGAGGTCTCTGGGCTGGTTTAAACTATGATCGGCGTGGAAAAATCGAAAAGGCGTTGCATGATTCGAAGCGACTGTATCAGGGTCAAGTTTGAGCAAAAAAACCAAAGCACTAGGTGTATCTACAAGATAGACACGTCGGCGACGTTTTGAGGTCAAGTAACGCGAGCTATCGATTTAACATAATTCCCGTAGGCGGTCCTGTGAAATTGACACTTACGTGCTAATCAGCGATTGAATAATGCTCTTTAATCGACACAGATTACGCACGGTTACGTAAACCCTGCGATGTAGACAAACACGATCTGTCCTGCTAATTTCGTCGATTAATACCGTTCTTGTCCCGGGTCGTTAATTAATACCTGTTCCACGTCTCGGGCTAATCTGTGGACGATCTTATCCACGAGTCGCGAACAATGTTTCTCGATTAAGTTAATCACCGACGATGGAAACAGAGAAAGTCGATCGACTATATTGACAGTAGTTGGGCTATTTCGTATCGGTTTGTTTACTACGTGGACGGTATTGTGCCAGCTCGAGCATTGTCACGAATAATGGATTCGAGAGTACAATGTCCCGAATCTAACTCTTGTTTAACTCTTTATATTCCGCCGAGAAGAGTATTCCCTGTTCAATTCCGCAGCTCTATCTTCTCTTCAGCTAGCAGGCCTCGCTGCAACAATAATAGGAATCAAACTATCTGTCCTTCGGGAGATGGTATATTCAGTTCCCCATTCCTTCGATCACTCGCCTAAATTCTGTTATCGTGTCAGCTTCGTATCAATTATTAACCCTTTGCACTCGAGAGGCGCCTCTCAGTCGCCATTTAAACAGATTCTAAACATGGACGTTAATTAATATATCAAATTCGCAATTATCCAACGATGCGTGGAATGTCGAAGTAAAATAATTCTACGTCTTAATTTGCATGCGATTTCTTATTTACCGATTTAAAAATATCGTCGACTTTATGGCAGAAAATGTTCGAACTACTATTTTTCTGAAATGAAAAAATCACCGAGTGCAAAGGGTTAAGTCTTCGTCAAATAATCATTCCTTCTCCGAAAACTGAAGCGGGGGTAACAGAATTTCTCAAGTACCCTCCTCGAAACGCGATTTTTATCAGAAAACAGTACCATTATTGGCGAAGCTAATAGAACCATAATTTATCAGGAGCTATTCACGTATACTCTCGTTCATGGTTGTTTCACCACTCTCACCGTGCATCTAGGCAAATAATATCGCGCGCATGACAATCTAATCGGACTATACGTTTATTTTCCATTCGACCAAGGACGATGACTGTTCCATCGCGATTTCACGAGGACCGCGAGCCTCGATGGACCAGCTCCCAATCGGACTAGGTCTTAACCGATGTTGTCTTGCATATGGCGATATTGACATTCCACTAGAGTGTATAGGCGCAGTTAGTTGGTCGCGACGAAACGCGATCGGTTGCAAAGCGATTTTCAGGCCAGGTGAGAACGAATCGGTACGTCTCTCCCCGCAATGGAACGCTAGGAACGGTGGAAGGCCAACGCCGGGCTGGAGACACGTTGTTATTTCATGACTATAAATAGAGATTACGACGACAGTCGTGTTAGCGCAATTAGCAAGGAACAGGAAGCGAAGCGGGAGGGGCGATTGAGTAATACCGATCAGGTGTCCAACGTGTGCGTATTCCGCGTACCTGCGAAGGAATATACGCGAATTTCTACGACATTGACCTTTGCTCTCTCTCTCTCTCTCTCTTATCCATCGAGAGAAGAAATTACCGTCTTACGTGCATACAGAATGATCTGCAAAGATATCGTCTCCGACCTGTCTGCCGATTTCCCAAAGATACCAGGAATCAGCGGACGAGTACGATTTCGACAGAGTATTCTGTATTATTCCACGACAAAAGAGATTGCGACTAGGCTCGGGACTCACCGTGTCAATAGTACTCGAAGAACTCGCAAGAACGAGCCTAATTACACGAAATGGCTCCGAATTAGCAGGAACAACCGAGTAATCACTGCCGCATCGTTACACCAGTCGACTTGCCACGAATAAAACTGTATCTATTTGCACGATAGAAAGTGATAAGCGGCGACTTGTTCGCGAAGAGTTATCGGCGACAGACGAACCAGCCAACTGGCGACAGAAGGAAACGCAGAGCACCCAGCCGCGGTTTGTGTACAAGTTGAAAAGCTGTTGAACGCGGGTTTCGACGAGGAATCTGTGCCGTAGGGCGCATGTGTTATATCGATCTCCTCGTTCAACGGAGCACGCAGTCACCCTCTCAATATATCTTTGAAACTGCGTTTCACCCTCGGCTGCAGCCGAAATGAGAGCCGCAGGGGTCCATTCTAACAAACCCTGCACGATGCACGATCAGTCCCGCTATTAAAATCCCCGATCGTGATCCACTCAGCGTTTACGTCCCGTGAGAAACCGACCGAGGCCTGACGAAATTCCTAACATCGAGCGAAACTAAGCTACGTAGACCTCGTAGACTAGGAAATTTTAATTATCGGTTCGTCAGAATTAATACAAGTCGAGTATATCGTGAATATTTCTATATTCTACCTATCTTTATCTTTAATCGTAAACGATGATTCAGAGATTTATCAAAAAATCAAGTTCCAAAGAATCGCGTGTATCGGTATGAGAAGTGATACAAATAGTCGTGAGTTTTGCTTCTATAATTTGCAAAGTATCCGAGCTCCGTTCGATGGAGAGCCGTTCCAAGTTGGACGGGTTTGTTGGCAAGCGGATTTCGCGTGTGACTGCATCGTTATATTTGATAACAGACACGAGATCTCGGCACGTAGGATGAGACAAAGTCGTCATCCCTTATCTCCGGCTGGTGAACGCTCACGCCGGTTTTCGGGAAAGAAAATGCGACGCTTATGCGACGCTTATCTTCGCATAGTATGCCTCCATCCGCTTTTATATTAGGTCGTTACGTCAACGATGTATTGCGACGAGCGTAGAAATAGCCGAATTTCGTCATTCGAGTAATGGAAACGGGACTGAATGAAATCCACGCCGATATTAATAAGGGACGTTGACACGTGATCGAATTGTTCGGGGTGAACAGCTCAGCCGAGACGTATGTACGTACGTACGTACATAGGCTGTTGAACTGATTTAAGATATCGACATGGTGAATATTCAATCATGCGAATGCGCGTTTAATTTCGATAATTATTGGTATTAAATTGAACTTTGTTTCGTACTTGATACGCAAATGCGATTATGACTGATCACCTTTTCAGCTAGGTTATCGCCACGCACCACTATGCAGCCTCTTCAGAATGCTCACGCACTATATTGATTCTCCAAGTTCGCCGAACACGATTCCTAGTGTATTTTAGACACGTTCATCACCGCGATTCCAGCCTGGATGAGACTGAGAACGAAACTGAACGTACTCTACTACTACCGCCAACAGCATCCCCACCTACACCAACAATACCTTCAGTTATGCTCGTCGTTCTATCACCTACTTTCTTCCTCTATGCACGAAAATCGTTATTATCCTCTAACTTTATTTTATCCAGTCTTAATCCTTCATTTTACCGTGCTCGCGTTTTCCTTCTATTATTTTTTTCTATGCCGGACGACAAATTACTCTAATCTCTGGAGTATTTACTTAACAAACGCAACATGTATTTTCAACGTTATACGATTAGAGATATGGAATTGGATAATTGCAAGGACAAATATTATATAGAAATATGTTAGATAACTCGCAACGAGTAGACGAGATATAGTAAAGAGGGAGAGATAACGTAGGTAATTTATTTATTTCGCGATTGCACAAACCTCGTGGATAAAGTAGAACTTTGATTACTTGCAGGTCTTTTTCTATAAGTTTTAATCTGACTCGGCTGACTCGAACACAGAGTGTAGTATTCTAAGGCTGCATCAATCACAGTCGGTAAAAGCTTTTAGCTAAAGCCACCCGTGTATACGCAGAATCGACTTCTAAGAACATCCTTGACCTGGTTCTCATGGATGTCAGAAAGTTTAAAGTTGACTTTTCTGCATACAAGTAGTATGACTCAACGATATGTCGTACGAGTTACAATTGGCTACGCCTCACCACTGATTGTACGGAGGCTATAGGTACGACACGTACGCGTAAATGTTTGATCGGGTAACGACAGATCGTTAGCTCATTTCACGTTATGACCCTCGAGCCTCTATGAGAATTATGGATTACTACTTTGTACACCGACGCAAAGCTATATAGGATCAATCGAAAATGCAGATTAATTTGTTCACACCTACAAGCGGTTACTGCGCTCTAGCCGCCGATAAAGAGGATGCACCAGCAATTAACATAATTTGCTTTCGTTGTGCAATTCTTTAAACGAGTTCCCGTTAATGACTCGAGTGATACAAGAGGATCTTAAAATAAATGTGACACGTAAAATGCATGTCGTAATGAGGCTTTTGTCGAGTGAAATTCGTATTCGAATCTAAACTTGATTCGCGTTGAAGGACTTGTTGCACGATGCATATAAATCACATCGCTTGTTGCTTCATTGTAGGCTGACTACAACGAGGCAAACATAACTATTCATTTTGCGAAGGTATTATTTAGGTTGAAGATGATAAGCACGATCGATAGCAGAATTAAATTTTTTATAGACTAAGCGATCAGGGCTTTCTATTTTATTCTACTAATATACCTAATCTGAGAAACATATTATCCGATGTTTTATTTCGAAGTATAAACTATTTACATTCAAATTGGCTACCATAAATTTTGATAGTAGGAAATTAAAATGAATCTTGTAAGTTAATAGTATACAAAGATCTTATGCTTGAATTTAAATTTTGAAACCAATTTCAATTTTATCCAAATTAAATTATATTTATTTTTTATAATCATTAAAACGTTCCTCGTCTTCGCTACCTCAAATTCTTACTTAACTACAGTCTGCGGTATTGATAGTAGGTACAGCATAGTGCTGCCATCATTTAACAAAGCGCAATACTACAGTATTTGACAACAATCTATTACCGTGAAAATATAACCTGGTGGACGTTGGTCTCATTTAGTAACTATAAGGTATATAAAACATATTAAATAATTTATAATTGTAATTATAATTTTAAACTATTAACATTTAATACTTTAAAATTTTACGTAATCCTTACGGTACTTTTTATACATGATATGGTGAATGCAATATCACATCTTGAAATGCTACTCGATAATTAGAAACTTTTTAAATAAGACAAAATATTTTTATAGTAAGTATTCATTTATTTTTATAACTTAATTTAAATTTCCTTTCACATTTATATAAGTAAAGCCTTATCGTGTTAAGTTACTAAATAGAAGATGAAATGTTATCGATACTCTTACACAAATTACTTAATTAGATGTTTACAGATTTAATCTATTAAAATAATTACTTTTATACCCATAGTTAACATGGAACATTGTGCAAAAAAGCCAAAATTAGATAATGCAAGTATAAAAGAAGGAGAAGCAGAAATTTTAGTAGACAATACAAATGTATTCTATAATCCTGTTCAAGAATTTAATAGAGATCTTAGTGCAGCTGTATTATCAACTTACATAGCAAATATAAACAAACAAGCAGCAAAAATACCGCAAAAAGAAGATGGAATTACTATATTGGAAGCTTTATCTGCAACTGGTTTACGTAGCATTAGATATGCCAAAGAAATACCTGGAATAAAACACATAATAGCCAATGATATTTCTGCAAAAGCAGTGGAAAGTATAAAAAATAATATACAACACAATGGTGTAGAAAATCTTGTAAAACCAAGTCACGAGGATGCAACATTACTTATGTACCAAAGTAGAAAAAATAAGTTTGATGCAATTGATTTAGATCCATATGGTTGTCCTACAACATTTTTGGATGGTGCTGTGCAGTGTGTGTCGGATGGTGGATTGCTTATGATTACAGCCACAGATATGGCTGTATTAGTTGGTAATTCTCCTGAAACTTGTTATCTTAAGTATGGTGCTATCCCCTTAAGATCTAAAGCTTGCCATGAATTGGCATTAAGAATATTATTGCAAACTATTGCTTCTCATGCAGGACGTTATGGTAGATACATAATACCAATGCTTTCTATAAGTGCTGATTTTTATATAAGAGTTTTTGTTAAAGTATTCTCCAGTCAAACTAAATGCAAAGAAAATGCCACTAAAATTGGAATGTTGTACCAATGTACAGGTTGTGAGAGTATTAATACTCAACCATTATGTTACAAAAAGCCCACTGGAGGCTATAAATTAACATCATTGCCATATGTAGATCAACTTTGTAAAATCTGCCATCATAAGCAACATGAAGGAGGACCCATATGGCTAAGTCGTCTCCATGACCAACATTTTGTATCTGACCTTTTGTGTAATTTAGATAACATGAAATTGGGAACATTGAAAAGGATAGAAGGAGTATTAAATGTCATTCATGAAGAACTAGATGTTCCATTATATTACGCCTTTGATCGCCTAATGTCGATAGTCAGATGTGTTACACCATCAATGTTAACATTTCGATCTGCCTTATTAAATGCAGGGTATCATGTATCATATTCTCATGCATGTAAAACATCTATAAAAACAGATGCTCCAAATGAAGTTATATGGGATATTGTACGTGCATGGGAAAAGAATAATCCCGTAAAACGGGAGAAGCTGTCAAATGATAGTGCTGCAATAAAAATATTAGACACACCAATGGCTACAAACGTTTCATTTGATATACATCCTCTAGCCAATCCAGTATCCAGGCAAAACAAGCTAATGCGATTTCAACAAAATCCAACAATCAACTGGGGACCTGGTACTCGTTCGAAAACAAGAGTAGACTTAGAAAATGGAGTTGAAATTTCAAAAAAGATAAAAAATCAGAATAAAAATTCCAAAAGAAATAAATCACATATAACAAAAGATACTAACGAGATAAAACCTTCAGAAAATAATTGAATTCTATTCATACATTTAACAGTAAATTTTCATTAAAAATACGATTGTATATAAATATGTTTCTTATCGATCATTAAATTTTCCTATTCATGTAACAAACATGTAATGTATATTTTTATTAATCATATCTTATAAAACTTATAAAATTGTAAATACGAATATATTCATAATTAAAAATTTTATACCATTCTTTTTTTAAATCGGAAAGAAAATACAACAAATATATTGGTAACATTCAGCAATTTGTGCATATAAATAAGTTTTCATCATGTACCACATTATATATATGAAACATTTTTATAATAATTATTTAGTCGGGAATTCAAAGGAATAGTTGTCACGTGCCTATAGTACAAACCAGTTGTAATCGCGTAACAGGACAAATAAGAATGTATTCCATTCGATATCGACGAAGTAACTCATAATGGAAGTTGTTAAGTGGGGGAAATCTCTCAAAGGCTTTTATATGTTCCGTCTAACTGTCGCATATATATTTTAGAGTGCTAAACGGTCGATCGTAGACACGTTTGAATACAACTACAACAGGATGGCTGCAACAACAGTTACTTTAAGTAACGGATGTAAAGTTCCCGTATTAGGACTTGGTACTTGGCAAGCCGCAGTAAATATCTTTTAACTTTTAATATAATATACAATATTAGACTTCTAAACAAAGAAATAAATATATCAGTGAAAAGATATTTTATACGCATGACATTCATTAACGATAACGATAAATTGTGTAAATTTCGTAAATATTTTCTAAGGATGATCCGAGCGTAGTCGAGCAAGCTGTACGGGATGCAATAGATGCCGGATATCGGCATTTTGACTGTGCTTTTATCTACGGTAATGAAAAGGAAATCGGTAAAGCATTGCGCGAGAAAATCGCCGAAGGTGTTGTGAAAAGGGAAGACCTGTTTATTACAACAAAGGTAATTTTATACATAACGAAACAACTCTTAAACATTACCAATAATATTTTTATATTTTCAGTTATGGAATACAATGCATGAAAAAGACAATGTAGTGCCAGCATGCAAGAGATCGCTTGCAAATTTTGGTCTCGACTACATTGATCTTTATCTTATTCATTGGCCTGTATCTCATAAAGTAAGTATATGCAAAATTTGTAAATTTGAAAATTTGTAAATTTAAAATTGAAATTGTAAATTTGCTATCGATATAACAGCTTTCGGTAAAGGATATCGAAGATATATCAATTTATTAATTTATTAATTGCTTTTAGGATAATACAGAAGGTATATGGCCAGCTGATAAAAAGATGCATAAACAAGATGATTATGTTGACACGTGGCGTGGAATGGAAGAATGTGTAAAACTGGGATTAACAAAGAGTATTGGTCTTAGCAACTTTAATTCCCAGCAGATCGATCGTATATTATCGATCGCCCAAATCAAACCCGTCATGAATCAAGTCGAATGTCATCCAAATTTAAATCAGAAGAAACTGCGAGAATTCTGCGCGCAACGTGGCATTGCTATTACGGCTTACAGCCCTTTTGGTTCCCCTAGGCGTACTTGGGCAAAGCCTACCGATCCACAAGTTACAATTGAAGCACCGGAAATTGTCGAGATTAGCAAGAAGTATGGTAAAACGCCAGCGCAAGTTATTCTGCGATATTTGGTAAATATATCCTATTAGTACCCATAAACAATTATGAAGTAACGATTCATATGAAATGTTTAATCAAAACGATGATTATTGTTTATTGTAGATTGATATTGGCACCATTCCCATTCCAAAATCTTCATCGAAAGATCGTATTAAACAAAATATTAACATTTTCGATTTCAAATTAACCTCACAGGAAATTGCCACCCTTGATAAACTTGATTGCGGACTTCGTATTTGCGCTGCTGTAGAGTAAGTAACAAGTAAAAGCATATATTTCTTCTCTCTTGTTTTTATATTACAATTGTACCTATTTTTTGTATTTAGGATGAAAGAGCACAAGGATTATCCATTTAACCTAGAATTCTAAAAAAGAAGTATTACAAAAATAATTTTATTACCTTATCGTACTCTTTTAAACATATATTCCACGTTATTTTTATTTACATATGTAGTTGTTTGTATCTTGAATAAATCAACGAAATTATAGAAACTGGCAAATGACATTAGTGTTTATCATTCCTCTTGAATATTCAAAACGTACGTTCTGCAAGTTGTTATTTCCCATGCATTTACATACGCTACCGCGGTTTTCAAATTAGATAAATCGTTTCTCGTATTTCTCAAAATAAGTGTTATTTTATCGAACCAAGAATGAAGTTGATAATGTATTATCACTACATTTTATATTAAATATATCAATAACGTTGTGCAATACCAAGAGTACGCGTCTAATCTTGGCTGTACAATTATTCGCATCATCGTTATGTAATAACTATGAAGAATAGACGAATAGAGACGTAGCATGATATATTCTAGTAGTTTCTGAGATATCACTTCATTTGTAATTTTCACTACCAAAGACTCTAACGTTTTTCGAGAAAACAAGCATTCACTGACATCAGATTCGTTCTTCCGACTCGCTCAAGATCTATAATTAGTCATGGCTGAAATACCTACTCTTGCACTTTCCAATGGATACAAAATGCCAGCTCTTGGTCTTGGAACATACCAGGTAAAAATATATTTATACATTTCTTCTAGATGATAAACAATTGTTTACGTTTTACCAATCACAAGTGGATATGCCACATTGAAATTTTCGTTCATTTCTAATTTCTTATGTAACTGTCACATGTTTACATTGCGTGGTTTATTCGAAACGTTTCTTTTAGTTAGATTACGCATTACTAAATTTTGTGTTTTTAGTCGCGCCCTGGTGAAGTAGAAAAGGCCGTAATGGAAGCAATAGACCTAGGATACCGTCATATAGACACTGCATTCTTTTATGGAAATGAGAAAGAAATCGGTGAGGCAGTTCAAGCGAAAATCAAGGATGGAACTGTGAAAAGGGAAGATCTCTTCATTACAACTAAGGTAATTAAACTTTGTATTTAAACAAAATATCTACGTTTCATATGATATTTCTCACAGCTCTGGAATAATTTTCACAAAGAAGAAAGAGTGGTCCCAGCATGTAAGAAATCTTTAGAAAATCTTGGATTAAGTTATATAGATCTTTATCTGATTCATTGGCCATTTGCCTTCCAGGTACGTCCCGATCAACGCACTCTAATTATCCGTGTAATAAGTATTTTTAATTAATTTTTTCAATTATTTCAATTATTTTTCAGGACGGTGATAATTTGTTGCCTAAGACTGAAGATGGGACTCTTATTATGTCGGATACCGATTATCTTGAAACTTGGAAGGGAATGGAAGAATGTGTACGATTAGGATTGACTCGTAGTATTGGAATAAGCAATTTCAACGAAGAACAAATCACTCGTTTACTCGGTGCAGCTAAGATTTTGCCCGTAAATAATCAGGTAATTAAAATTTATATTATTCAATTATCCAATTCACTTTCAAGGATTGTAATAATATAAATTGTTTCTACTTAGGTTGAAGTAAACATAAATTTAAATCAAACACCATTGATAGAATTTTGTAGAAAACACAATATTACGATAACCGGATTTTCTCCGCTGGGGCAACCCGGAAATAGATTTGGCGTGCCAAATTCCTTGGACAATCCAAAACTAATAGAGATTTCGAAAAAGTATAATAAAACAACAGCTCAAATTGCTCTAAGATACATAGTAAGTATGCAGGTTCAACGGGGAGTACTATTTCATGTTTCTTTTCGATTATAGTCGCTTTTTTATGTTTTCATATTCTCTTAATGGTAATGCAAACTGTTCGAATAGAGAGTGGTTGTTTCCAACAGCAAAGATAAGTTTGATAAGAGTTGGACAAACGCAAACACAACCATGACTTGAAAAAGAAGGTTGCGTATGTTATGTCATATGTGAATTAGTTCTCTTACTCGCCGATACGGGCCCTATCATTAAAGTAGAGTCTACTGAAACACGAGTCGTTTATCTGCAGATATGAAATGTAATCTTTTCTTCAAAATATTTCAGTTGCAACAAGGAATCGCCGTCATTCCGAAAACAGTAACATCAAGCCGACTAAAAGAAAATCTAAATATCTGTGATTTTTCTCTAACCGATCAAGAAATGGCGACCATAGCGACAATTGGCACGGGACAACGCGTTTCGCGATTTCTAGAGTACGTACTCTAAATATCCTTCACGTCATAAATTAATGTTTAAACAGTAAGATAATGATGTTACTATCGTTCTTTTTTCAGTGCGCAAAAACACAAATATTATCCATTCAACAAATAGAAGTTTCATTACATACGAGTAAAATGGCAGGAAACAGCTCGTCAAATTCAGTATAAATTAATAGTGAGGTATATCCCCTTTGAACTTACATAATCCCACGCTGTAATTCGGCACTCGTTTGACCCTTATGTAGTCAATTAGATTTATTGAATGCCATGGAAAATTTCGATGCTTCGTACGGTGTGACGTCATACAGCGTAACAAAGCAGACACCGTCATGGACAAGGCTAATTGCATTTAGCCAGTACTAACTATGATTACAAAATACAGACGTATATCGTGGGTAAATAAAATTGCGTAAAAAAAATATTTGTCAAACAGTAGAGTGTAATCTACTTTTTACAAAAATACTGATAAAGTACCTTTCCAATATCTTATGGTACACCTGCAATGTTGAAAACAGCATGCAATCGATATGGCGATAAATGTATTCTAGCAACTATGAAAGGAAACTTGTTCCAAGAACGTATGACGCACTGACAAATCGAATTTCCGTAATTGTTGGAAACGTGATGGCGGAAACGTGATCAACGGACTAGAACGAAACAGAAGGTTGTTGAAAAAATGTTTTTTTAATAAAAGATTAAATATACTAAAATAAAAATCCTATACTAAAACAAATCTTAATTTTTATTTAAAGGTGTCCTACCTTCGTATTCATTGTTTCATATTCTTTGAACAAAGAGAATTTTATAAATACTATAATTTGAACAAATTCAAGCAAAACTTTGTAAAATCCTGAGAAATGTTTGTCATAAATCAAAAAGATTCTATTAAAAAAAAAAAAATTATAATTTATGCTCATTAAGAATTCTGGGCCAGACTTCTTTAAGGTCAATGAATTGCAGACTTTTGTGGGTGAGAACCCCCTTTTCGAATGATTCACTCAACAAGCAAATGCTTATTCTATATTTGCTTCCTACAGTATATGGGTGGAATTTTTTGCCACACGAACGCGATACCATACAACATTTTTACAGTGGTATTTTCCACTGTCCTCGAGCCTTCTCTTCCTATCTGGTTAAAAATGCAAAATGGATTCGTTCAAAAGCGGGATCGATCGTCAACCGAGAAAACAAGAAATTTTCGAAATTTCATTCACACGTACACGATAAATCATACTACGTGTCCTAACTCAAATTTCCCACGTATCGCAATGTTTGGTAAATTCAAGTACGACCTTCGAATAACGACAGTACAGTAAAAGCAATATTCTCGAAAGTATTCATTATAAGCTAGTTGGCGGTCACGTAATCGTGATATGTATTCGTAATAAAGTTACACAGACGACGCAATTACATCATGAATCATATCGTGCAAACGTAAGTTTCATAAACTATCGTATGCATCGAATCACATGCCTGATATTTTTTCTCTTACCGACATCACTTTTATCGATAAAAAAAAAAAAAAAAAAAAAAAAAAAAAAAAAAGGCTTCAAACACAGAACGAAATCATTGGATAATTTTTCTAGATGGAACGCAAAATTTTCGAACAAAACCAAGTCGCCGACGTGCAAGGGAATATTATCGTCGGAAATCATTGGGTCACCAATAATGGCTGATTGCGGTTCCTGGAGATCTAGAATGCTCGCTAAGGTGAAAGACTGCGGCAACGCCATTAAGAACGCGATGGCCTTCGACAAGCAGCCGAACACCTTTGAAACTACGCGAATAGCCGGTAAGAATTGCCAGAGCAATTCTTCCATCCTCTCGAGAGCAACGACTTCTGTGTCCTCAATACCGGATATCATAACGTTTAGTAGTATCGCGTTAAAGTACGAAGAGTACGAGGACGTGCCGGTTCTAACAAGGGACTGTGTACCGAATTCAGACGAAGCAGAGAAATTGGCCACGTCCGTAAAATGGAACGGCCAAACTAACAATACGAATAATTCGTTAAAGCGGTTTGTTTCGGCGGATAACATAACCAGCAGTTCGTTAAAATCTTTTCTGGCGCTGGAGAAGCAGATCAAGGAGGAGTTTTTGAACGAGGAAGAGAACCCGTTCACGAACAAAAAGAAAATTTCCGCAGAACCATTTCTTTCCTACGCGGAAGGCACTGCGGAATTCATTTGGTCGGACGATACAATGGAGGAAAGCATTTCTGGAACAGCATGGAACTCGACAGAACGTTCGAACTCGTTCGATATCGGAAATCCATGCACAAACTCGACGTTCTGCGAGGAGTCTTATGTAAATAAAAATTGTACATCTTCCCCGATTCAGATCTGTCCTTTACGGGATTCCGGTTTCGAAAATAATTTCTCGGTATAAATTTATTGCATTTCTTACGATTATTCATTAAATTTTGCTATTTTCTTTCCTTCCCTTTCTTTTCTTTCTTTTTCTTCTAATACGTCTTATTTATTAAACCTTTTGTAACCTTTCGTACGTAAATCAATAAAGTTTATCACAATGAATACAATCTTCTACATGTACGTATCAGATGAACTCGTGCCTTGTCTATTCCTAACATTCCATCGGCTAAATGTAAACAAAAATATATACTGTTACCGTTACAACCTTGTATTGGTGACATTGTGGAAGTCATGTAAAATCGACAATACTTGGTCAAAATTATCGTTTAAGTAATCCTCCTTAATCGAGTAACGTAGAGAAAATAATATTTGAGAAATAATTTCGACAAGAATAGTTGTGGCTTGAAGTTATAAACGGGACGATAATATCGCAATCTTTCAAGCTATTGATTCCGTGAACGGACTATCCATTATGCTACCGTGCACAAATGAACACGAGTCGTTTCTACCCTGCAATAAGTTTGAAAAAATATCGATCATGTTAAAAACGGGAAAAACCACTCAAAGCAAAGTAATGGATTTTATCCTGACGATAGTCGGTTGCATAATCCTGAAAATCGATCATCGATCCCGCTTACACAGATTTAAGGATGTTTTCGATGATAGAAGCTTAAATATTCTGTACAACGATTTGGAGAACCTTCTGCATTTTAATACCAATTTCGTTAACTTTTTAATGTTCGAGTTGCTATTGGTGGCTATCAAGAAGGAGGACAATTGTCGCAACAGATGCATCAGACTTAATACAATTGTGGATACAGCGAACAAACGATGGAATAAAGTTGTCTTTCAGAAACGAGTCAAGGCCATCGTAAAATTTTTGATTTTCCGGAAAATAAAATTGTCTTCTTCTATCTATGATGGAGCTAACACGTTGAATTGGCTTTGTTATAAGCAAAAAATCACTGTCATACTTAACAATGAGATCAATCCGAAAGATAACTTCATAATGAATAAAAATAATATAAAGAACAATTGTCAAAAAAGTATTACCAATTATACTTGTTATAAAATAAACAATGAAAGCATGAATAACGGGAACAATTTGAAAAGGTACTCGAAAATGGAACATGATTTTAATAAAACATCGAATGCTAGCATCGGTTCCTTCAGCAACAAAATTTATTGGTCGTTCTGGTTAGGTATTTTTATTACTACGGCTTTATTAATTTTTAGATATTTTTTAACACTTCGGCTGTGATTTTTTCTATTCGATGTTATTAAGTATTACGTATAAATTAATCAGTGAAATTGTAATATGATAGTTTTATTTGTATATATGCATTGGGAGCAAATTCCTATTATCCTATTCAAATTATTTATCATTATCATATTTTTTATAAACGCTATCAAGAGCAATGTTACTAATCTAGTCGATATATTTATTTATAATACAATCGAAAAATTTATTTAATTTCGCCGATTATTTGGCGGGATAACATGACATGCGATAATTTAGCTTATTTGGATAAAGCAAATAATATAATCTGTATATGTACATCTTATGTAAAATATAACATTTTATACTTGGATTTATAAAATGTGAAATATTTATCAAAGTGATAACGTAGCAGAATTCAGCTGGCACTGTTTTCAATATCATAATATCAAATTGTTATCAGGAATTTTTGTTATTACTGATAATAAAATATATATTGAATTAAGATTCGTTTTTTTGCAAATATATCCTCCAATTATAAGTCCCCATTTTTGTTAAGAGCGCGTAATTATGTTTTCATACAACACAGTTGTAATAGTATAAGATATTCCTATCATTAAAAACTTCCAATGCTAGATACGAAGATAAAATCATTCAACGATTATTCCTTCTGAAGTGTTTAAACACTTATTGTTCTTTCATACGCTTCGATAATAAGCTTATTCATGTAAGCTTAGATAGCTCAAAAAAGAAAGACATTAATAATATTTTTGCCTTCAATATTACTTAACTCGTTTGAATAGCAATGTGAAATGAATGTGATGAAAATGGCGATCGATAATCGCATATTGATTATAAACTGAATGTATTATGAACACGTAACTATTGAATGTACCGTATACTGGAAAAAATATAAATTCGTATACACGCATATAGCTTTCTTCCCCATTTATTGTCCGAATAATTTATTTTTTTAAATATCAAAATATTCAAACTACGGTCACTGATCGTAATTTGGTATCATGGCTACCAAAAAAGTTTTTAAAGATTTTAAAAGACTGTTTACTTACCGACAAGTGCGATACTTTAGACACGATCGATTTGTAACGGTACATCTCAAATTTTATTTAACGTAATGTTGGCTAACAATTACATTCGAGAATAATCCATTTTATGAGAGTAAAGTTATTCTCAGAAATTCATTCTTTCATTCTTAACGATCAAGGGTTGAACTGTCCCTTGCTATTTGTAACCGACTTTGTAATTTTCCATAGGGCCTGTTTCTTCTTAACGAATTTCCCAGCGTCCCCAGCTACGATCGAATACAAGTACAGAGTAAAATCTTTTTATACACATATAAAACTTATTATGCAAGATTATCCACACATATAAAGATTGTGAACGCATGCGCAGAAAAACATGTGAAACAGGGCAGTACAATTTTAAGGGGTCTAAAGTATTGTATCCTTTGGAGATTTCTAGTATTTCTATGTGAGCTTACTATTTTCGTATTAATTTCTTTGAAAATACATTAGATATGAAATATTAGTACCTGAAAAATAATAAACAAATAAAAATGTACTTCGTAAATATTTTGAAATTTGCATGTAACATTTTCATAATTAAAATATAATTTTCATTATTTATAAATCAAGCATGATAAAAGAAGTAGATTTTTATATTCATATTAATATTTTAATATTGGAAGAAAATATTTCATATCAACTAAAAGTAATATTATATAAATTATTGAAAGCTATGATGTTAAGAAATACATATTTCAATTTTAATAAAAAATTATCAATGATTTAAACAATTTATTTTTAAAAAGGGTAAATGTGAAACATAAAACATACGAAACAAAATGAAGATAAATAAAGTAAAAAATCATACTACGTTCTTTGATATACGGGTCTGTGTTCTGAGGTGGGGGCAAGATACAGGGGCTAATGTAGGATATTTATAAAAGAAGCTGAGCGAATCTACCGGCATTGTACTGCCGGCAGTAGTGTATGACGGTGTGGGAAATTTCAAGAGGTGTAACAGCAGTATTAAAAATTGTGTATTTCAATTAATTAAATTAATAAAAAGTATCAACATGGTTACAAGAGTACCAAAACTGAAATTCTACAATGGTAACGAAGTACCGGCGTTTGGACTTGGTACATGGAAGGTTAGTACCATGAATGATATATCGATCAAAGAATTCATCATCTATTTTTATAAAGAATATAAACAAAATTATTATATAATTATGTCCATTACTTCCCTATACATTGTTTATGATTTTAATGAAATCATTCATATTATTCTTATACTGATAAAAATCTGACGTATCATCTAAGACGCAATGTTTCTATAATGTTCTCGAATCTACTAGACGGATAATCGATTTACCTATACATGAAATGTAGCGTTTCGCTTAATTGTTTTGTGACAATGATGTTGTAACGATTTTTATTTAATAGAAATTCCTTTTGATATTGACTCTTATATTTGACAAACTTAGAAAAAACAAACAATATTTTGTATTTTATTTTTCTATTGTAAAATAGCATAAACTGATATTTTAATTAATTAAAATTTTTAATATTACATAATTTAGAAATATTACTATGATGAATTTTGTTCACACATATCATTAACCATTTTTAATCAATAATACAGCACATTTAGGTAAAGATAAGCAATTTATCAAAGTTATATAGATGATATGATATCATTTAAGGACTAATGTAAAAGATACATGTCACATTGTGCAATGTGATTTTTTTTTATTGGAAATATACTTGTCACTTGAATGCTTATTATACAAATATAACTTTTATTCCTAAATTGGCTAATAATTTAAATATTTTTTAGTCCAAACCTGGAGAAGTTACAGAGGCTGTTAAATTTGCAATTGATGCTGGATATAGACACATTGACGGTGCCTATGTGTATGGCAATGAAAAAGAAGTAGGTGCTGCTATTAAAGCTAAAATTAATGAGGGTATTGTGAAGAGGGAAGATCTTTTCATTACAAGCAAATTATGGAATACTTACCACAAACCTGAGTTGGTTGAACCAGCTATTAAAAGAACTTTAGCAGATCTAGGTCTTGAGTATTTGGATCTTTATTTAATTCATTGGCCAGTAGCATTTAAAGAAGGAGATGCATTAATGCCAAAGAATGCTGATGATACTGTAGCTCTGAGTGATGTAGACTATGTAGATACATGGAAAGCCATGGAAACTTTGGTATCTAAAGGACTTACTAAGAATATTGGCGTTAGCAATTTCAACTCTCAACAACTAGACAGACTTCTAAAAAATTGTACCATCAAACCAGTCACAAATCAGGTAAATGTTAATTTCATTTAGTCACCACAACATGTAATAGATGTACTCTTGAAAATTAATTTTATATTTATAGATTGAATGCCACCCATACCTTAATCAGAGAAAACTTTCTGAATTCTGCAAACGAAACAATATTCTTATTACTGCCTATTCCCCTCTTGGATCACCTGATAGACCATGGGCTAAACCAGATGACCCAAAATTGTTAGATGATAAGAAATTGGGCGAGCTAGCAAAGAAATACAAGAAAACACCTGCTCAAGTCCTTATAAGATACCAGGTATGTGTTAATATTTTATCCATATTTAAATTATATTCACAAGTAAATTTTGTATTAAAATTTTTAATTATTTTTCAGTTGGATCGTGGTCACATAGTTATTCCTAAGTCAGTTACAAAATCAAGAATTGATCAAAACATTGATGTCTTTGACTTTAAACTTTCCCCAGAAGATATTGAATATATTGATACCTTTGATTGCAATGGCAGAATCTGTCCACTGACAGGGTAAGTTTCTTAACATTTTCCTTTCTGATAATTTATATGAAAATCATATTTTTTCTAACACAAATATTTATATTTTTTTTTAGCTCAGAGAACAGTCCTTACTATCCTTTCAACATTCCATTCTAAGCAATCGAATTAGGTTAAGGATCTGATTATAATATTTACAATATTTTTTTCTGTACATTTTCTATGTGAAATTCGTATAGAATAAATTGTACTTTAATAAAAGTTCATGTGTATTAACTTCTTACATATTTTTGAAAATATGTTTGTCCTATTATAGGATTGGGTACTTTCAAAGTATATTATAATTCAAGAAGAATATTTGATAAGATAACTAAATATTGATTAAATTTTATCAAATGTATACATGATTCTCTTACATGATTCTATCCTAAGATATTTTCAATTTCAAAGTTAAGGTTACTTTTAAATTACATGTATCTATATCATTTATTAAAAAATTTTCTATTAAATAATCCATCCAATTTTTACTTTGACATCATACAAAATAGTATCATAAAACACACGATTAGTTACATTGACACAAAAGAGATTCATCGCTGTCTTCGCAACCACAAGAACAACATTCGCAAAATTCGTCTTCACTATCTTCATCTCTTCGTGAATCATCTAATTGCTTGGAACCAGTTGGTTGATATCCCTCTGACGAATCCAGTGGTTCATCGCTGCAATTACACGGTGCATCGGACAATCCACGGCTACATTTGCCCTTGCAATTGCACCTACAGTTTCTAAGTGGATATACGTAACTTTTGAAAGGTATTGAAGGGCAAATTTCACAGGGACTATTGAAATCACAGGGTACCACACGTGGTTTGCATCCCGTTCGAATACCTAAATTTTTTTTCATATTAGTTTCTATTAACTTTATTCAAAAATTAATTATATTACGCACCGTGATCTGCCATTGTATAACGTGGTAACTCGCAAAAAGGTTTTCTTGAAGATGTAGCGCAACATTTGGTGAGTTTGTTACAAGAAATATTGCAAGGGGGAATATGTTTTTCTACGCAAGATTTTCTCAGAATACATTGAAGATCCTGAGGGGTAAAACAAGGTCGATGGCATTGCGCCGATTTCGATTTCGATTTCGATGACGATTTATCGTTATTCGTTTTCTCATCTCTTAGTTTTTTTTCATCAAAAGATGATTTCTTCTGCTAAATTATAAAACAAACATCACTAAATTATTTCTTGCAATGGTAAAGTAAATTTTTGTACCTTATTCTTAATGTTCATCGATGCGGATGCATCTGCACGTTTCATCTGCGGTAACACCTGTTCCGATTTTTGGTTATTTGACCACCAATTTAGTATCCATGAAGATTTTTTCCCAACATTTTCCTGGGGCATCTCTGGTTTAATTTCTTGATCTTGTTTTTTAATATTTTGTTCTGATGTAGAAACTAATGCATTACTTTGTACCTGTATCAATATAGCAATAAATAAATTTATTATGTGGTGTAATTCTAAATGTAGAAATCTTTACTAACAATAATTTCCTGTTTCTGCTTTTTCTTTAAATCATTTTGTTTAGACCACAAACATTTTTTTGGTACGTAACATATTTTATTTCCGTTACATTCTGGATCTTGAATGCAGCTAATTTTTTTTCGGCCACGAACATTTTGATACTCCTTAGACGTTAACAATCGATTCACATGTTCGTTAAAGATTGTTTCATTCTGCTCCAATGCTTTTATACAATTTTTCAGGTTTAATTCCTCTTCGGCTAATTGGCGTATTTTTGACAAACAAAGCAAGTCCTCGGAATGTATCGAATGAAGACTCGGGGTAGTGTAACATCGCATTTCTTTCTCTAGATTGTTCAAAGTATCGTTCATTTCCTTGTTCACAAGTTCCAAAGATTCTAATTCCATTTCCGTTTCTTCTAATATAACATCAGCCTGTATGATTTTCTCCTACAATTAAAAGATACTTTATCATGAAATATTTTATGAAAATATAACTAAAAGGCAGGTGCATTTAATAGTACGTTAAATTTTGTAGCGAATGCGAAAATTCAAGCACACTGGTAAGATTTACCCGAATTAATCGCTGAATTTCAATCGTTCCGTACATGCAACTCCTCGGTCTCGCAGTTCAATTCCTTCACGGTATTTTTCAGACTTTTGAGAAGCTTCTCAGTTTGATCTGGATAAGGAGCAAAAGTCTTCATAATCTCGCGAATTTTACAATACGGCGCACTTTCGCATTCTTTCCCCATCCACATATTGTATGCTATTAACGCGGGAATCGATCGTTCCATCGTTGTGATTTTATCTTTTAAGTACTTCTGTCTACCCACAAGATCACAACGTCGTTCCTGCATCTTTGTGATGTTTTCGGAATACCACGATGTATGAGCGTCCGTTTTCATATCTGACTTTGGACCTAAAATAAAGAGAAACAAAAATCGGTATTTGTCTTTATAATGCGCAGGATAATTATTTTAAATGCATCACTTACATTTACATCGAGACATCTTGCTTGTTAAAACGCTGCTTTTTCTCAGAACGAAATTTATCACTTTGGACCGTATTAAATAGTATATGCACTATAATTACAGGTGGGTTATTGCAATTTTATTTTAATATTTAAATTGATAAATTATAATAAATTATCTTTGATAACATTTTCTTTGAAATTTTGATAATGCCAGTGAATGTTAATTTTTTATAAATTTGCTGTTGACAGTTGCAAGTAGAATAACATATCTCTGTACTGAATTAGTGTTTTAATCGAAAATACATGAAATGAAATTAGCAATGATATTGCTGTTAAAAAAAACTATCGAACAAGATCATATGTTTTTCCGATATACTTAATTATTTTTGACAGTCATACGCGCAATAAAATCAGTATGCATTAATATAATCTTTTGCGAATTGTTCAAAATGTATTAGACCCCATCAATTCATAACAGTAAAAAAGTATAAAACATATCGAACTGTTTGAAATCTGGAGCAAACCGAAGGGAATAGCAATGTTACCTCTAGGCTTAGTCCAGAGTTAGTAAAATTATAAAATTTAATTTAGAATGATGTCTTGTAAATATAACGGTTAACAAATAGATTTTTATCTAACAGAAGAACGGAAGACCTGACTAGCCGTGACACGGACGACGATAAATATTCTTTGTTAACCGGAACTAGTACATCTTTCCAAGATAGCAACGGAAGTACAATTACAGGCTTGATTAGGGCCGACTACGAACGCAATTTTGAAGATCGAGTTTTATACGGACAGGGCGGCAGTCGCAAGTTTAGCTATAAAAAAAGAAAGACTTGCAGCGGAAATGGAATATTTAGTGCTCCTCCTGGCGTCAGTCCCCATCATGTTAAATCGTCAATTATCCGTCGCAGTACAAGTAGGGATACGTATTGTATTATACATATCTTACCTTTTCAAATAATGTATTTTTTCATAACAGATGAATCTCGACTAATTTTCGTATGGCCACAAAAACCACCTAGAAGTAGATTGTTCAGGATCTTAACTCCTCTTATGCATGGTATCCTCATTGGATTTTTATTTATGGACGCTATTCATCTTTGGCCCGGAGAATTTTTACCTACATCGTTGCCTTCTGTAATGCCCGTTCCTTTACCACCTGTAAAATGTAATGTGATTGAACCACGATGGTTTGACAATACATAGGCTTTACAATCTTTTCACTTTCTTTGAACATCAAGTCGCGTAGCTTAAATTATCCTTCTTTAATTAAAATATTTAGAAGATAAAAAATAAATTATAAGAAAGTTTATGAAAAATTAAAATAAATGTGAAAGAAATGTATTAAAACAAAATTAAATAGTGAACTGCTGTTTTGAGAGTGTTAAAGATTTTTATAAGTTATGTAAAATTTTATAATACCCGGAAACGATAAAGATTGACCTATAGTTGCGTGTTCATGAACACACGCCATGTTTAGCAAAGCAGTAAACGTAAAACATTTTTATCTGTAAGTATGTCAAACAAACATTTATTTCAGAAATTTGGGTACTTACGTGCTCCTTTTGCACTCGGTATCGGCCGATATGTATGTCAATTACAGAGAGTAACTATAAAATTTTGTAAACATCATGGTGGTAGTCTCGGAGTCAGGTAAGAAATTTTATTTCCTAACCTTTTCTGTAAATATAAATTAATTGTATGTTACATGTATATATATGTAGTGTTACAAAAAACGTTATAAATTCTTTTTTGGTATTTTCGGATTAACATGTAATAATATATGTTGCATATTTTACACCTTTTAGTGCAAGTTACATCTTTTTATAAATTATAACTTATAATATTTTATGTTACATTTGTATAGACGTACAAAAAAGGTTTTTATGTATATAGGAAATTTTTGGAAAATGACTTAATTGATTATGCAAAGGATAATCCTGGAGTTGTGGTATATGTTAAACCAAGAAGACATAGATCTCCAGTTATAAAAGCAGAGTATCGTACGTTAAACACTCTCATAAGAAAAGCAAGATTTTTATATGAAGAAGTAATATTGAAATATTTACATTTATTATAGTGAATGGAGAAACACATTGGATATGTGTTGCTCAATATAGTAGAGAGGATGTTATACAGTGGATGGAATTATTAAAGACACAATATCATAATGGTCCAGATTACAGATTAATGAAATTATGGCATACAGATTTTCCTTCTATTCAAGGGCCTTGGACACCTTTTACTTTTAAGGACCCATCTTTGAATCAAGTCGAATTCCCAGATGTAAATATAAAACTTTTCTTATTTTCTTTTTTCTAATATTTTTTATAACGCTTACTATATATTTTATATACTTTCAGAAAAAAGTTGGTAAATATATTGAAGTGAAACCAACAGCAACAGAAGAATTGATTAGATTATTTCATGAACAACAGGAAGCTGAAAAATTGAATGAAGAAAATAAAAATCAAAGTGTTAAATAAATAATAATTTTAGACATTTTCAAACATTTTATTTTACCTAAATGAATAGTTTGTAAAAATAGAATTCCAGAACTAAAGATAGTGGACTCTAGCTCATTGCTATTATACATTTACAAAAAAAACATTTGTCTTTTTCATTTCTATGTGATAACATAAATACCTGATAATTATATTTGTTTAATATTAAAAAGAAGTTTGTATGTATATACATCAAATAAGTGTAAATAACATATTATATGCATATATATACTTATCGATACGTGATAGGAAGATTAAAATGAAATATCAATATATATTGTTCATAGCAATGTTTATACTACTGTCAAAATTACATGACAGATACATTTCTGTTTATTCATCTTTTTATACTTTCATTGCTAGATAAAAATATATTTTAGCATTTTTCGTACAAAAAATTGAACAATAATATCGCATATAGCACCACAATTTTTGGATAAACAAATTTGTATTCTAATATCCAATTTAATGATTCTACTATCTTAATCAATAGCTTCACATTTTAAATAAGTAATACTATCGTTATAACAATATTCGCTTCCTATAAAAACATATAGTTCTTTTTTTAGGGCAATTACATTGCTACTAACATGTGCAAATTTCATGTATGAAACATAAGATTTTATGTATTCCCTAAAGTTTACAATCATCAATTATTGTAATTAATTTTTTGCACTTAAATTAAAAAATATCAATACAAAACATTAAAAAGTATTAAATATAGTGTCTAATATTAATTAAAGTCTTCAATTCAAACGTCAGCTAGAATATGCATGAAATGTAAACAATATATTACAACTTGTATATAATGTATTACTTTTTTGTGTAAAAATACAATGAAAATGTATTTTTTTGAGTCGCACGTAAATTTATAAATATATCTTTTTTTTTGTTTAATTTCGATGACATTAATTATAAAAATAAAAAATATTTAAATTACGTTCATAGATAGCAATGAATTTTTTAAATAATCATTGAAAGATGAATACAGTAGCATAACCCTGATACATGTTAACTTATTTCTGTGGGTAATATGAATAAATAGTTTGTTTCTTAAACTACAGTAAAAAGAGAAATAATTTTCCCTATCACCGTCGAAAAAAGAAACAAGAAAAGAAGTACAATTTTTTCTTATATATCAAACGGACTGAAATATCCACAATTATGTATCAAAGTAATGACATAATGAGCTGATCCTAAAAATGTAATAATATAAATAGGTGAGTTTCATGCTACATACAATCATTCACACAAAAATCACATGTCACTGCCATCATTACATATTAGACACTTTGTTATGCATAAATAATAAATATATATAATGCCTCATTATAGAATCTTGATATTAAAAAGTGATAAATGTGGTACCTCCTTATATTCAACAGCCATACTACAACAAAATTTTGTAATATAATAAATTCATTCTCAACAAAGGGAAATGTTCTTATAAAAATTTAATTATTTTTCATAGTATAAAAGATAATCTAGATTAACGCATTGTACCATATTTGCAAAATTAAACAAATCTGACCACATACGCGAGCTATCTTTTCCCTTCCATAAACATCAATGTCCACATAGAAGATACAACAAAACATTATGTAAAATATCGTTGAAGCAAAATATCACACATTATATCGATTGTGAAAATACGACTAGAGACAACTCGATTTATTCAACTTTAAGCCGTTTACTCAACTCTTCTTGCTGTTTTTCTCGCCATTCTTTTTTCGGTTTCATACGTTTAAGTTGACCATCCCTAAAGAATAATTTTAATGTATCAATCTCTATAATCACAAATTATATTCTTTTTTAAATAAAATATAGTACCATTGTAAATCAACTAATCCACCTTGCCTTGCTATGACAGACTTTACCCTATTTGCAAAGTCAATAGCACTCTCTCCCTCATTCCTGTACATTGGAGGAAGGTACCATACATCACAAACTATAGCCCAACTCGACATGGTCATATATAAATATTGCATCATTGAATATCGACTACTATTCCAGAAGGCATCCCCAAATCTTGGATCATACTATTAAAAAAAAGAAGAGGAAATGAATTAATGTGATTATTCTGAGATGCTGTGGAAAGATTTTCTATGGCTACATATACACTTACCTTTATTGCAACAGGATAAATTACACCACCTACTTCAAAGCTTCCTTTTTTAAATTGCATAACTGATGTGTTATTTATACAAGTACCTTCAGGAAATATAAGAATAGGCGGATTTGTGGGATCAGAAACGTGTTTCTTTAATCTGTAAAACATGTAAAAATATTGAAATAAATTCTAAGTAATATGTATATATTTAGATCAAAAGCATACCGTTTCGTAACTGCTTCTCTGTCTTTAACTTCGGACCTTTCGAACCAAATATGCGGTGAAGCACGTGCTAAAGCCCTTTGTAGAATCCCTAAAAATCCGCCGTGTCTCTGACCAATCTGAAATAATATTCACCACTGAATAATATAAATCGTCCATTACATGATTTTGAAGGAATATATTTTTGTGCAATATAAATATGAATACAATAATAGAGTAGAATACAATAGAGTAGAATAAAATAAATAAAAATAGTGTACAAGAAAAAGCGTCAATAATTAACGAGTGACCATTTCAATGAATAAAATATTCTGCGTATAGTGTCGTATTAGATCATAAATAGCAAAAAACGTACCAAAGAATAACAATTGTCGCACATGAGTATCAGAACATCTATGGGTGAAGTATGATTTGCGACACAAATACCTCTAACAGGTCGATTTTCCGGATTATGATACGTAATTACTGACGATAAAGCGCTTGACAACACACCGAAGCACATTACGGAGACTTTGTAATTCAGCCATCGTTTGAAACTACCCTCTGGCACATAGCCCACAACTGCAGTACATACTGTCAGCCACATCACCTGTAAACCATAAGTTTTGCACCTAAGAAAGGATGATCTACCTGAATAATACTCAAGAAGCTTTGATATTAGTTAATTTGCAAATACAAAATCTTTGTAGGGTATAATTTGGACAATTCCAAGACAGCCTCATTAATTGTAACAGATTTCTTTAATAATAGTAAATATTAATCTACTATTTTCCAAAATCTACTTCTTGTACAAAATTGTTAAATAAAGAGGATATAGTAAACTTACTCCAATAAAACAAATGAATATTCTTAAAGGAAGAAGAAAGCAATATCGCATAACAAAACCACACATCCATATCACTGTTAGTTTCCAAGAAATGAACTCATAATGTCTATTTGTTCTGGTTAACAGATTCCAATTCTGAAACAAAAAATTTCACTCTATCATACAGTTTTTATTCTATCATACAATTTTAATTTATTCTTTTTAGGTCTAAAATATGTTGGAAAAAGATTGGAAAAAGATTACCTTCAACTCTTCCGCCTCGAAGCGAGACGTCACCTCATCTTCGATAATAGCCTCTACACCAGCTTTAATATAATCCAAACAAATCGCAGGTGTAAACTCTCGTTTTAACGTTTCAAATGAATCATTACGGATAAGAGTCTAGAAGAAAAATGGTCTTAATCCAACGTATAAATAATCATAAATATACATTGTTATGTAGAACAAAAATTACTTCATTTTCACCTACAGTCTGAGAACTCTCCGCTTTTGTTTCTTCAAGATGATTTTTATGGTTCTGCATTTCAGGCTCGGGTACCAAGATCAGATCTGTCGATCTAGCTATCACGTTATTGCTCAACATACCATTCTGCATTTTGTTCTCCGTTTTCCAATTTTGCACATTTTGTTTCTCGACGTGCCGTGACTCGTATTCTTCATCCACATCCTCGTTATTCTCATTCCAAGTACCGTTCCTCTTCTTCACACTCTCTATGTTTTGCCTGCCATACTGAAATTAAAAGCCGATATATAGTATGCGATTATTTGAGTTTGAATGATTTTAGGGAACCTGTGACATACATTTCTTATTGAAATAAGGGATTAACAATTCTTAAAACAGGGTAAGAACAACGAACCTATTAAGTTTAGATATAATTTTTGAGAAGTGAGTACTTGAAACGTGAATCACGATGGAACAAAGTATGGACACGTTATTTTTAGCAATATAAGTTACTTGGACCTTGATCCCTTACTAGTTATTGACGTTAAAAACAATTCTGAACAATGATTTTCTAGACATGGTTAAACTTATATTTATCGATTTATCAGACTTATATCTGTCCCCACAGCGTAGTTTTTACCATGTTATATTTTTTTTTAATCCTTATTTTCAAGTTATTAGAAATAGAAAATAAAAAGAATATAAAAGGTGTCTTTTCGTAGAAACTGCCGAAGATATATCGAAGTTATTGATTACCATATTAAAAAAATACAAAAATTTGTACAATAATTATTATTACCGATTTTCTATTTCTAGCGCTCAAAGCGTGTGAACTATTGAATTATGTATAAATATTCAATTTTTGCAAGCTGAAAAACTAGTTGCATTCATTTCTTAAATTAATGGCAAAGATTTTGAATCAATAGCGTAATGAGAATGTCAAAGTGTACATTCATTTCTTAAATTAATGGCAAAGATTTTAAATCAATAGCGTAATGAGAATGTCAAAGTGTACATTCATTTCTTAAATTAATGGCAAAGATTTTAAATCAATAGCGTAATCAGAATGTCAAAGTGTACTAACTACCGACGCGAAAAAGTTCGAATGTATAAAATTCAAAGCTGCAAAGTTCGAAGCTACAGTTAAAAACGTATCATCAGGCAATCATTAGTTATATACTTTATAATATCATATAAGAAAAGAGGAGTGCGTATGTATAAACAACATTACAAATTGGTTTAAATGCTAATTAAAGACACTCTAACCTTTGAAATAAAAGAAAAGAAATACGTAAACGAACCTCTGAAAAAGAAATAAAACGCAAATTTATAATCAATTAAATTTTCATGTTAATTCTGCATTTAGATTATATTATTTATTATTCCTACCTGAATAATTATTTCTCCGTATTAAATATCGATTTTCATTTGATTGCATCAAGTGATACCTCCTATAATTATTGTACCTTTTTCCTTTTCTAAAAAAAATCCCTATATCGTAACTAGAAAATTTATCGATTTTGTTCATCAAATATTTATTACTGAGCTGAACTAGTATTTTTGATAAAAATGAAATTCTTCGACAAATTTGTCAACATATACGCAAATTTCGAAATAGACAATGTTCTCGCACACGTGCTTATTTGAAATTTGACGAATCGACACATTAATTGCATTATAATGTTCGATAACGTTGATAAAGCATCATTGTTTAGAGAGACGCATTTCTTGGTCTTTACACACGAGGTTCATGACTCCTAGCTGCTCTTGAACCAGTGAGGTTCTAATCCCTTTCTTTTGTCTTTAAATAAAACTATTCCTTGTGTGATCAATATTTGTATCATATTCAAAGTTTATTTTACAATAGACTGATTTTGAGTCAACTTGCTTAATATTTTGCATAATATTTCAAATGTCATCTACGAACATTCTTTAATAGATTAGAATCTCGATTTCTAGTTGAATCGAATGATTAAATGGAATGAACTTCTTACTAATCTATTAAGTTACAAATATAATGACAAAGCAAAACCTCATTTTTGATTCCCACGCTATGCATTTTCTGACGCAATCACGAGATCGTTAGGAAAATATATGAAAACATCATTGAAAACGTTTTTGCTACATATTTTCTATCCAATGCGCATGAGCAAAGTTTATAACCTTTTAGAATTACACCATATCTGAATTGCTTCGAATATTCGAATAATTTGTTAAATATTATAAATTAATTATTATTTCAATTTCTCAAATATTTGATAACTCTTTTCAAATGATGAACATACATTATTATTAAAGATATATTCAAGATTATAGCTTTGTCTTTCCTACAAATAAAATAAAATCTATAAAATTAAATCTACGTTTTATCGTGACATGTATGACGAACGATCGCCGATAAACTAGAACAAGTAGTTTTCTAAAGACAAGAAAATTGTATAGGTCAATCTTTTAATATCTACGTATTATTGTTTAATAGAAATTGAATGATTGGTGATATCTTCTATCTCGTTAAAAAAGATGTTATGGTTTTTTCCAAATTTTATCCATATGTGACTTCATTAAACATTTTTAAGTTATACATATTTATGATCGAATTAGCATATTTATTTTCGATCTTCATAGTCTGACTATTCATACCATATGATTCAACATAAATATTTAAATCGTATGGTAAACATTTTAAGGAACCCGAGGTTTACGATTTCGAAATTACCAGAATAATGTTCATGTGTTTCAAAGCAGTACAAAAGGTATTTGTAAGGTTATATCGTAAAATTGTTTCTCTAAAAACTGTGTATGCAAGAATTTAAGAAAAGTTATGTGAAGTCATCTAAATTCGATACTCGGTCATGCGAATTGATCGTGTTCTAGGATTTCACTATTTTATGACTTTTAATCAATACGAACTTGTTACATGCAATATAACATCACACGAGGTCCATTAAAGCTTCAATTAATCTCAATTTAATATTTCACCGTACACATCATACTGCTTCTGAACAAAGATAGTATAGCTAGTACATATGAATAAAGTATACTCAAAAGGATCATGTTAAAATATATTATAAATGTATACGAAAGTGACATAAGGATAATATATTTATTGGAATACTGATTTCGTTCTATTAACTATCAATTTAATAATTTAATTAATGATTATTTCTAACTGAAAGAAACAACAGCATTACCATGTTATACTTAAAAAATTAAAAATTTTTACGATTTGAAAATATATCATGTGAGAACAAAACACATATAAATATATGATAATTAGTTCATTATACATATTGAATGTAACATTAGTACATAAGTATTTATAACTATTTGGACATTCAAAAATCAATTTTACGAAAATGACATTTAGGTTAGCTGTCAAATGAATATAGTATCTGATGCAACTATATCACACTATAATTTATACAATACTAGAAACTAGAATCAAGCTTGCATTAAAATAAAAAGAACAAATTTTTTAAATCTATGAATGCAGTAACGTAAATTTTTAATTGTTGCTACTTGTTGATTATTAAAGAGATATTATTCAAAGCACACTTGATTTAATTGTAATAGTTAAAAACGATTAAGTATTTCATTATTTAAAAAAAAAACACATCTTTTAATATTAAAATTAAATTAAATGTAGAAGAATGAATATAAGAATAAAAAACGTTCTATACTGATGATACTGCTTTTGAATCCTAAACTGAAGATGTGTCATTAACCAGGTAAAGATTATGAATGCCAGTCACGATTTTTTAATTATTTATCAGAATACAATAAGTAAAGTTTGTAATTTATTTTCTGTCTTACCTCAAAAAGTGCTAGTAGTAATTTGATATATAACCTCCTAACACCAAATGACTTTCCGATAGATGCCAAGAAGATGATAGCAAGCAAAAACATAAAAAAAGGTATTAAAAATAAAGAAACTGCTAAACACATCATCATCCACAATGGCGCCATTTTGCTTACTACTGACTGAGAAATATTCAAGAAATCTAAACGATCCATCGTTCAAAACCTATATGTGCGAATACTGTAGAGAGATATTGAAAATCAAATATTTACTGCCATCTAGGTATTACTAAAAGAGCTAAAGAATGTATAGTTCACAAAAATCAAAGTTAGTTTATCGTATGGTATAAAATGAAATAAAACTCGACAGTATTAATAGATATAACAATTTTAATATTAATTAATTAGATGTTGTATTAATACATAATACATAATACGTATAGTATATGTTAAACTAAAAAGCCATAGAAGTTCAGTTATAAAAATAAAGTATCGTCGGTTAAACACTGTCTTAAGAAAAACAAAATTAGTATAAGGGAATATTATACAGTAGATAAAATTATTAAATACATAATATTATAATGGTTCAGATTTCGGATTAATTAAATTATGGCATACAGATTTTCCTTCTATCCAACAGTCTTGAACACCTTTTATTTTTAAAAAATCATCTTTAAATCAAGTCAAATTCCTAACACTTGCTATATACTTATATATTTTTAAAAAACGTTCTTAAACGTGTTCGATTAAAACTAAAAGCAACAGAAGAATTGATCAAATTGTTTAATAAATAACAGGATGCTGAAAAATTAAAAAGAAAATAAAGATCAAACAAGTGTTAATTAAATACTAGATTGTTATTCCAAACATTTTATTTTAAATAAATAAATAGCATATAAAAATAGAATTTTAGAACCAAAGATATTGGACTTCAACTTAATACTATTATATATTCACAATAACATTTGCCTTTTTTATTTCTATGAGATGATATAAAAATTGGTAAACATATTTGTTTAATATTTAAAAAGAAATTTTTGTGTAAGTATATATACCAAATAACTATGTAAATCATTTAATGGTTATAGATTTGTGACTGTATAAAATAAGTATATATACTTTATTATAGTATATATATACAGTGTACTGTATCTCATTTTGCATAAAATTAATGCACTCGTTTAACTTGTGTTAGGTAAATGGTATAATCCAAACAGGAGACTTACATAACAATATGAAATTAGTACTTATTTGTGCTTTTCCTTTCATATGTATATGCATATTTATTGATATGTAATAGGAAGATTAGAATGAAACATCAATATATTATACTTAGCAATGTTTATGCTACTGTTAGAATAACATGACAGGTACATTTTTGTTTGCATCTCTTTATACTTTCATTGCAAGATAAAAATATATTTTTGCATTTTCCACATAAAGATAATGATATCATATACAGCACTATAATTTTTGGATAAATAAACTTCTATGCAAATATCCAATTTAAGCAATTCTACAATATTGGCCAATAGTTTTACAACTTTATATTTATAACAGTATTTACTTTCTATAATATCTTAAATAGTTAATTCTTTAGTGTGATCATATTTCTGTTAATGTGTAAATTTAACATATTAAACAAATGTATATTCTATGCAGCTTAGAATTATCAAAAATGGTAAATAATTTTTAGTACTTAAATTAAAAAATATCGATAAAAATATTCAAAAGATTCAGTATATAAAATCTAATATTAATTAAACTCCTTAATTCAAAATGTTGATTAAGATAGGAATAAAATATTCACAATATTTTATAAATTGTACATAAAGTATAACTCTTTTGTGTAAAAATACAATAAGCTTGTATTTTTTCGAGTTGCATGTTAGTACATGTAAGTGTAACTTTTTTAAATTTCAATAACATTAATTATAAAAATAGAAAATATTTAAATTATGATTTTAGGTAGGTGTGAATAATATTCTAAATAACTATCAAGAGATGGGTAGAGTAGTATAAGTCTAATACATGTTAACCTATTATTTTGCGAAAAATTAATAAATAGTTTATTTCTTACACTACAATAGAGAGAGAAGTATTTTTCCTCATCATCTTTACAAAAAGAAAAAAGAAAAAAGTAAAGCAATTTTTTCCTATATAATATCGAATGGATTGAAATATTAATAATTATAGATCAAAGTAATGATATAACGATGTGATTCTAAAAATCTAACAATATAAATAAGATGAATTTGATGTCTACACACAACCATTCACACAAAAATCACATATCACTGCTGCAGCATTCCGTAATAAACACTTTGTTATGCATAAATTATAAATTTATAATGCCTCATAAAGGAATCTTGGTAATAAAGTGACAAACGTGGTACCAGCAATTCAGCAATTTAAATTCAATAGCAATACTACAATAAATTTTGTACTATAATAATTCCTCCTCAAAAAAGGGAAATGTAATAAAAATTTAATTATTTTCCACAGTATAAAAGATAATCTAGTATAATGCATTGTACCATATTTGCAAAGTTAAACCAATCTCATCATATTCGCGAACAATCTTGTCCCACAAATAAGATACAACGAAACATTATGTAAAATATCGTTGAAGCAAAATATCACACATTATATCGATTGTGAAAATACGACTAGAGACAACTCGATTTATTCAACTTTAAGCCGTTTACTCAACTCTTCTTGCTGTTTTTCTCGCCATTCTTTTTTCGGTTTCATACGTTTAAGTTGACCATCCCTAAAGAATAATTTCATTGTATCAATCTTTATAATCACGAATTATATTTTTTTTTAAATAAAATATAGTACCATTGTAAATCAACTAATCCACCTTGCCTTGCTATCACAGCCTTTACCCTATTTGCAAAGTCAATAGCACTCTCTCCCTCATTCCTGTACATTGGAGGAAGGTACCATACATCACAAACTATAGCCCAACTCGACATGGTCATATATAAATATTGCATCATTGAATATCGACTACTATTCCAGAAGGCATCCCCAAATCTTGGATCATACTATTAAAAAAAAGAAGAGGAAATGAATTAATGTGATTATTCTGAGATGCTGTGGAAAGATTTTCTATGGCTACATATACACTTACCTTTATTGCAACAGGATAAATTACACCACCTACTTCAAAGCTTCCTTTTTTAAATTGCATAACTGATGTGTTATTTATACAAGTACCTTCAGGAAATATAAGAATAGGCGGATTTGTGGGATCAGAAACGTGTTTCTTTAATCTGTAAAACATGTAAAAATATTGAAATAAATTCTAAGTAATATGTATATATTTAGATCAAAAGCATACCGTTTCGTAACTGCTTCTCTGTCTTTAACTTCGGACCTTTCGAACCAAATGTGCGGTGAAGCACGTGCTAAAGCCCTTTGTAGAATCCCTAAAAATCCGCCGTGTCTCTGACCAATCTGAAATAATATTCACCACTGAATAATATAAATCGTCCATTACACAATTTTGATGGTATATATTTTTATACAATACAAACATGAATAAAATTATAATACAGTAAAACAAATACAGAGCGTACAATAAAAAGCGTCAACAATTAATGAATGTTCATTTCAATGGATAAAAATTTTTGCATATAATGACCTATTCGACCACAAATGACGAAAACGTACCAAAGAATAACAATTATCGCACATGAGTATCAGAACATCTATGGGAGAGGTATGATTTGCGACACAAATGCCTCTAACAGGTCGATTTTCCGGATTATGATACGTAGTTACTGACGATAGAGCGCTCGACAACACACCGAAGCACATTACGGAGACTTTGTAATTCAGCCATCGCTTGAAGCTACCCTCTGGAACGTAGCCCACAACTGCAGTACATACTGTCAGCCACATCACCTGTAAACCATAAGCTTTGCACCTGAGAAAGGATGATTCTTCCTGTATTGATGTTCAGTAGCTTTACCTGAAAAGCAAAGTTACAGGATACTGTTACCTGTAACATTTACTAGGGTATTACCTACTTTCAGTAGGTAATTGTAGGTTATATTACTTTGGAAAGTGACATAATAAAATGTCTGAAGTTATTTTAATAATATCATCAAATTTATCCTTACATATTAAAGAAGTACTTATTATTAATATTCACATATAAATAAGTAATATAAAGAACCTAATGCAATTACTAGAAAACAACCACCAACATGTAGACAATGACACAAATTCCCAAGACAACAACAATGCCTAATAAACAACACAATTTAGACACAAAGACAAAGACTATCTTGATAATGATATATTACCAAGGAAAATGTGGTCTGTGTGGATAAGATGCACGCATCAATTGTGGAAGTGTGATTTGCCACACACATTCCTCCAGGTTTTGGTTTATACTCGGGATTATGAATTGTAATTGCAGCAGATAAAGACTGTGACATTATCTTGAATGCTAAGAGACTAGCCTTGTTGTATGTCCATTGTTTAATAAAACCATTTGATAGCAAACCAATAAGAAATGTTGCATTTATAATATATAGTACCTAGGAAGCTTTGATATTAGTTAATTTGCAAATACGAAATCTCTATATGGTATAATTTAGGCAATTCCACATGAGTAGAATTCCATAATGAGAAAGACTCATTAATGTGACAGAATTTTTTAATAACAGTTAATATAAAAGTAAATATTAATCTATTTTCTTCAAAATTAAAAATTAGACAAATTTATACATGCTACTAAGCTGGGTCAACTTTTTGTACAGAATTGTCAAGTAATGAGGACATAGTAAACTTACTCCAACAAAACAAATGAATATCCTTAAAGGAAGAAGAAAGCAATATCGCATAAAAAATCCACACATCCATATCACTGTTAGTTTCCAAGAAATGAACTCATAATGTCTATTTGTTCTAGTTAACAGATTCCAATTCTGAAACAAAAAATTTCACTCTATCATACAGTTTTTATTCTATCATACAATTTTAATTTATTCTTTTTAGGTCTAAAATATGTTGGAAAAAGATTGGAAAAAGATTACCTTCAACTCTTCCGCCTCGAAGCGAGACGTCACCTCATCTTCGATAATAGCCTCTACACCAGCTTTAATATAATCCAAACAAATCGCAGGTGTAAACTCTCGTTTTAACGTTTCAAATGAATCATTACGGATAAGAGTCTAGAAGAAAAATGGTCTTAATCCAACGTATAAATAATCATAGATATACATTATTATGTAGAACAAAAATTACTTCATTTTCACCTACAGTCTGAGAACTCTTCGTTTTTGTTTCTTCAAGATGATTTTTATGGTTCTGCATTTCAGGCTCGGGTACCAAGATCAGATCTGTCGATCTAGCTATCACGTTATTGCTCAACATACCATTCTGCATTTTGTTCTCCGTTTTCCAATTTTGCACATTTTGTTTCTCGACGTGCCGTGACTCGTATTCTTCATCCACATCCTCGTTATTCTCATTCCAAGTACCGTTCCTCTTCTTCACACTCTCTATGTTTTGCCTGCCATACTGAAATCAAAAGCCGATATATAGTATGCGATTATTTGAGTTTGAATGATTTTAGGGAACCTGTGACATACATTTCTTATTGAAATAAGGGATTAACAATTCTTAAAACAGGGTAAGAACAACGAACCTATTAAGTTTAGATATAATTTTCGAGAAGTGAGTACTTGAAACGTGAATCACGATGGAACAAAGTATGGACACGTTATTTTTAGCAATATAAGTTATTTAGACCTTGATCCTTTAATAGTTATTGACGATAAGTTAGTATCAGACAATAGTTTTTTAAATATGGTTAATATTAAATTTATCGATTTATGAGATTCTTTATGAGATCTGTTTACGCTTCAAAAACTTACAGGCGGCAAAAAATAAGAAACTACGAAATAAAACAAAAGACGAAAAATATTTGGATTCTAAAGCTAATATAAAACATGTCATTTCGCAAAAATTATTACAGAACACTGTTATACAAATATATAAGTTATGATTAAATATTATTAATATATAAATGTAATTTGTATAATATAAATATATAATAGAAAAACAGAAAAAATTTGAATATTTGCATTATAATTATTAACATCGGCATTATAATTTTTGTATTCAAATTATGTACAAAACATTTGAAAATGTTAAATTGCATTTAAAATATTAAATTGCATCACGAGAAAGATCAAAGCATCTAAAGTTAAAAAAAACTAAATACTCCCATTAACTTCTTTTAATTAACATCATAAATTAAAATCCATGATGTAATGTCAATTTGCATTAAGTTAAATACGAATAAATGCGAAAAAAATTAATGATGACGTATTTCAAGTCATTGATCTTAATATTGCGAAACGGTAAAAAAATATCTACGAGGAAAAGATTACTTTCATTCTATACTATCATTTGTTACATAATTCGTAATACTATAAAGACAAAATACGCGTATGTATTAAAGTCAGATATCGGCTTCAATGTTAACCAAATGAACTCTCCATCGTTTGTAGCAACAGTAATTAAACACGCGCGATAATTTCTGTAAAAAATCAAATATATCATAAGTTACATTTTTAAATTAATTTTTTATTTAGGCTGCGTTATTAATCTCTACTAATTTCTACCGATTTCTACGCGAATAATTGGTCCTGTTTATCGGGTATCGATAAACATACTTTATTTCACCATATCGAATAATACGTTATATAATTACTCTATTCTCTTTCTTTTTCTTCGACAGTTAAAAGAAAAAAAAATAAATATCGCGAATTGAAAATTCACCAAGGACACATGACATTTGCCACCGAGTTAATCTGGTATCTTTGATAAAGGAGTCGTTACGACTATCATCGCGTTAATCGTGTCTGAAAATGAAATTCGTAGCCAAATTTGTCAACGAGCACGCACATTTCGAAATAAACAGAGTTCTCAGACACGTGCTTGCTTAAAATTTTACGAATCGTAGCATTAATCACATTATAATACCCGATAACGTTAATGAAAGCACCATCGATAAAAAAACACGATTTAATGAGAGCCGTATCTCTTGGACTTTACACTTGGAATCCATGACTTTCGATCACTTTTGAAACAGTGACCGGCCCTTATTCTTTTTTTCTTGTCTGTGAACAAAATCATTCCTTGTATAATCAATATTTCTAACATATAGAAAATTTAATTTACAAGTACATCAGCAAAAGTCATCAGGTGTAAAGTGGACTTAATTCTTGAAAAACCTACTTGGTATTTCGAATTTAATTTAAAATGTTATCCGTGAAGATACTTTGATAAATTAGTTTTACCTTTACTAATTTTTTAATGATTCTTTATAATACAGATATCCTGACAAACCAACATCTTTGGTCATCGGATTATGCACTTTCTGACGTAATCACAGCGAGATTGCTAAGAAAACGAACGAAAACATCATTAAAAGCATAATTTAAAACATATTTTTTATCCAACGAGCATGTGCATAATTTGTAACCTTTTAGAATTATACTATCTCCGAATTGTTCACATATATTCCCTATAACAAATGGGAATACTAGGGGTTAGGAATATTCGAATAATTTGTTAAATACTATAAATTAATTATTATTTCAACTTCCCAAATATTTGACAAGTTTTTTCAAATGGTGAACACACGTTATTATTGAAGATATATTCAAGATTATAGCTACGCCTTTCCTATAAATAAAATCAAATCCACGTTTTATCGTAACATATGTACGGTGAACGACCGCTGATAAAGTAGAACAAAGTTTTCTGAAGACAAGAAAATTGTATCGGCCAATCTTTTGATATCTACGTGCCATTGTATGACAGAAATTGAATAATTGGTGATATCTCCTATCTCTTTAAAAATGATGTTAAAGCTGATATTGATCCATCCGTTTACGTGATTATATCATCGTGGAATAATTATTTCCATATTCAGATCTAATTTTTGTAACATTAAGTTGCTTTATCGAACGTCTTTGTAAACCAACTATGATAAGTAATTAATTTAATTTCAGTGAAGGATTATCTATATGATTTAAACTATTGTACTTAGCAATCTACATTGAAAAGACAATTCTTATCGAAGAATAATTAATTAAATAATTACGTTGATTAGATGATATTTACAATGGGAAAAATAATGAAGGAAAATACAAAAAATTCGTTAAATTGTTTAATAATATTTCAACGTACGATTATCAATGGGTACAAACGATCAAGATTAATTGCGATTCAAACCGAGAGAAAAGAATCATCTAGAAGGTTAATCTTAGTTCATTAACATGATAATAATTTTCAAGAAATTGCTTCTTAAGATTATAACGGACAACTGACTCCCTAAAAAAAACCTAAGGTATACAAGAATCTAGTGAGAACTAAGTGTGAAAACGTTTAACGTTTGGTACTCGACCATACGAATTGATCGAGTTTTAGGACTTGACTGTTTCAAGTGAAACAGTTTTAAATCGATACGAACTGGTTACGTGAAATGTAACATCATTTGAGGTACTAAAGTACGTTTCTGTTAATCTCTAATATAATATTTCATCATACACATCAATTAATGTCTAAATAAAATTAACTCAAAAAAATAATGTTAAAATATATATGTAAAAGTGACATAAGGATAATATATTTATTGGAATGTTAATTTCATTATATTAATTACTAATATGGTAATTTCATTAATGATTATTTCAAACTAGAAATTACATGTTAAATACTTAGGAATTAATAATTTTTACGATTTGAAAATATATTATGTATAGAACAAAATATATTTATATGACAATAATGTGACCAAACACATTTTTAAGATATTTATTATATGTATTGAATAAAACATTAGTACAAGAGCATTTATAACTATTTAAGCATTCAAAACTCAATTTTACGAAAATGACATTTACGTTAATTATTGTCAAATGTGTGTGGTTTCTGATTACAATTGTATCGCACTATAGTTTATAGAATTCTAGAAACTTGAATTAAGCTTGCATTCAGATAAATTAAAAAGATTAGGAAAATATCTTGTGAATGAAGTAACGTAAATTTTTAATTATTACTACTTGTTGATTATTAAAAAGATATTATACGAAGCACACCTGGTTTTAAAGTGTAATTGTTAGAAACGATTAAATATTTTATTGTTAAAAAACAATAGCACAACTTTTAATATTCAAATTAATGAATGAAGAGGAATGAATATCAGAATAAATAACATTCAAAATATTTATCTTAGATTTCATATACATTCTTATATTTGCGGAATAATATTTCTATGTTTAACACGTGTTTGACTTAGAGAATTTGTTAATGTCAAAAAATAATATAACATTCAAAATTACACTAGTGATAATTTTTGATTCGTAAGCTGATGTGTCACGAATCAGGTAAGCATTGTGAATTCGAATCACGATTTTTGAATTATTTGTCACAATACAATACAATAAGAAAAGTTTGTAATTTATTCTCTACGTGTCTTACCTCAAAAAGTGCTAGTAGTAATCTTATATACAATCTCCTAACACCAAATAATTTTCCGATAGATGCCAAAAAGATTATAGCAAGCAAAAACATAAGAAAAGGAGTTAAAAATAAAGAAATTGCTAAAGACACCACTAACCACAATGGCGCCATTTTGCTTACTGCTGAGAAATATCCAAGGTATCTAAACGATCCTTCGTTCAAAACATGTGTATAAATACTGTAGAGAGATATTGAGAATTGAGTATTTACTGCCATCTAGGTATAACTAATAGAAATAAAACATGTATATTTTGTAAAAATGTAAAGTGAATTTTTTGTACGATGTAACACAAAATAAAATTTGTTAATATTAATGTTCATTAAAATTTCAATATTATTTGATTTGAGATTAAAACAGCATTGCAATCATTATTGCAAGTTCTCACGTCCAATATTCAAAAAATGCGCGGAAATATTTCATGCCCATTGAAGTAAAAATCATTACCAGGGTACTTCTCCCACTGGCAAAATGTCGTCTGTGCAAGCAACAGTAAAACCATTGAATGTATCTCCTGTAATTAAAGTAAGTATCATTACTGACAAATTTATAAAGAAGTACATTTAAATATGGTATTGTAAAATACCATTTGTTTGTCACATTTTTGTTTAGAATTCTCTTTTGTTCTAAAGTTGAATAGTGTTCAGAGCAAGTTCTTTTAAATTAATCATATTACATAATGTTATGAGTTTGTAATGCAATAAACTTTCTAAATATTGGCCTAAATAAATGTAGAAAATTTTATATTTTATTTTACTTTAGTATAAAATTTGAAGACAAGTTGCTATTGAATTTGTATTCAATTTTCTAACCTATTTAAATGATATTATATGAGTGTAAGTGAAATAATATATTTCGTAAAATAAATTAAGTACGAAATACAAAGTACTAAATATTTTTCAAATATTGATAATTAGTAACAATATATATATAAAAATTACAAATATTTTATATTTTTTTGTTGGATCTTGTATAGTTTTTTCGATGGACTTTCCTATTATCTGGTATTGTATATGGTCTGTATTTCCAAAAAAAATTTAGTAAGAGAGAGAATGCACTTCGTGAACAAGAAGAAAGAGAAAGACCCATGAAGGAAGCAAAATTAGCAGCAGAGAAAAAATTGCTTATTGAAGGTAAAAAGAGATATGTTTAGTTGTAGACAAATTGATAGTATGATATTAAATTTTTTATTATTGTTTCTGTTTCAGCTGAATTGAAAATGTTGGACGAATTATTAAGTCCTGCCCCTAAGAAATAATCAAAGTAAAAAATAAAGAATTACTTTTTCTGTAGTATATATATGCGTTTTTATTAAGTTATTATTAAACTATCCTTTAAAAAAACTAATTATGCCAATTTCTGTTCACATCTATAATAAACATTAAATGTAAACTTTTTATTGCATACATATATATACCAAAATAAAATGACTTATGGTAATTAAGTAGTAATTTCATATTTTTAATCCTATATGTAAGATAATATAAGGTTGTTTAATATCTATTAATACATAAAAAATTACATTTGACTATATTTTTAAAGATACTTATCGTACCGTTTAATATTTGTGCATTTAAAGTTTATTCTTTACGGTTTCTCATAAGTGTGATTACCTTGTACAGCAAAATAAAAAAATATTCGCCCGAACAGGGACTCGAACCCTGGACCCTCAGATTAAAAGTCTGATGCTCTACCGACTGAGCTATCCGGGCGATTGAAATGAATATCGTCAAAACATATAGCTATTGTTGTAAACATAATTAATAAACTACTAAAATGTAAAATATATTTTAATAAAATAGTCGATGTTTTATAAAATTCACTATAAACATTATTATCATAACTTTTTAAAATTAAAACTGAAAAGTATAAATATATATGTAAATAATATATAAATTTTGTAATAAATACTACGATTATAACGTATATTTTATTTAATTTTTTTCTCCGGTTTTTGAGACTAACAAAAACAGTATCTTCATTTACAGTTTCATATTTATTCTTGATATAACAGATAAAGTCATAAAGTAAAATGCAAGTACAATATTTTAAGATATAAAATACATTACATTCATATAAAAATAAATATTAAAAACATATTTAGACATGTTAAAAAAATATTAATATAAACATTTTCTTCATCAATAAACAAAAAGATATTCTTACATATGTACAAATATATTCTGATATTTCTTTTAGAAATGCATTAACACACTAATTTAAAGTATTAGGGAGCATTTGTAATGGTTATATATATTGTCATGGAAACACCTAAATGCTCTTGGTCCAAAAATGTAATACTTTTCTTCTTAAGCTGTAATCAATTCTGTCTTATTATCATTAGTAATCAATTGCAAGAGACTCCCATTAACTGGACGTTCTTGATTTTGTGACCATTTCCAAAAAAGGCTATAAGATAAGATACCATTAATATAAAAGCAAATACGAATATATGTAAGGAAAAAAAATATTTTATTTACTCTGCAACAAATTCAAGTGAAGTCCACTTTGATGTATCGGCATTAGGCATCCATTTTCTATTCATAGGTGTATCTAAAGTAATAGGTAAAATAGATGCAACTAGAGCATCTTTTGGAAGACCACTGTCTTTAGAGGCCAAAGATTTAGTAAGATGATGAACAGCAGCTTTAGCCATTCCATATCCAATCATCCCTGGTGTTTCTGCTAATGCTGCTTTAGCACCAGTTAATGATAAAAATCCTCCTTCTTTCAAGTGGTGGGCAGCAATGCTAGCAGCAATAGTAGAACTCCACACACTTTGTTTCCACATAAGTTCACTGTTCTTAATAAAATCTTTATGGGATGCATTTCCACCAGCCCAACCACCAGCTACGCAAATAATTGCATCTAGTTTATCCCCTTTTAACACATTTGAAATTTGTTGCAAAATATCAACTTCCTAATTAATAAATAAAAGTGTTTAGTTTCATGTATACATATTTATTTAATTGAATATAATAATTTAAAAAATTACCTGTTCTTGTAAATTATTCTCTGGTTTTACAATTATATTTGCATCAGCTTGCTCATTTGTCTTCATATCAATACAACCAACCCACTGTGATTAGAAGTTAACATAGTTTTAGATAAACAATTTTTTGTTTAAACTTAATAAGAATTTTAGTTACAATATTTAAAAACTTTATATCTCACATATATGTTTAAAAACTTTAATATACATATTAATTTTAAATTGAATATTTTATTGACTTTAAAATTTATCTTATGGGCATTATAGAGATAAATTATGTGAAAGTTTTTGGTTTATTAACTATAGCCTTGATGTATTTCTTGTTGTATATATACTTGTATATGAGGATGAATAAAATTACACCAGGAAATATACTCTTGTTAACATTAATTTTTATAGAAATCGTATTTTTTTAAATTTATGTAAAATTTATAATAATAAACATGATTATTAATAATATTAATGATTCATATTTAAATACATTTAAAAATATATATATTACAATTTGCAAATAAATATTTATACATATACATGCAATAATTATCGTAGATAAACAAATTAGTATATTTTATAACATTTAAAACAGTGCGCAAAATGTTAGTCTGTTATTTAGATGTACGAATCATTCAAAAATACTACGAAGTCGACATATGTTAGAAAAATGTCGTATATATTTTCATTATATTTTCATTATATTGAATTTCTAAATAAAATATTGCAAATACATAAAATAGTTTAGAAACTAGACACATAATACTGCTATTTTTCGTAAAGAAATGTTACAAAGTAAAATTTCCTCATTCACAAATCACTGTCTAACAGTTGTTTTCAATTAATTTTTAATATATCTCTAGAATAAATAAATTATTAATGTACAAATGACCAATAATTTGTTTTTAATTAGATGAAATTAATTAATAACATTTATATACATATTATTTTTTGAAACTTTAGTAAAAAGTTAAAATTTCTATGAGGAAATTAATTGACTATCAAACAAAGACAATATTTAAATTTATTTATGTTTTGTAAATATTTATGATTGTTATTATTACTTACCCAATTTTTTGACTTAAATTTTGAAATACAAACTGAACCTAAAGCACCCTTGCCTCCATATACAAAAACACGTCCAACCATTGCCTCCATTGTTCGATAAAAGAAGCAACTTCACAAAATATGTTTCGGGAGTTGCAACTATATACGAAAGAGTACGAAGTCATACGAGAATCTTTCGGAAAAGTTCGTAAAAGGAGTGCTAGATTGCCAGATTTCGGCACAAACTATGAGAATAGATTGTCAACTGAGTAGTCAATATTGTTCTAGTGAGAATATTTCAAATAATTAAAGTATAATATATGTTAAAATCTTAAATTTGTACAGAATGATTAACATTAACAAAATTGAAATGTTTAGCAAGTTAATATAGATCCATATAAATTCTATATATATGTTTCTTGAATTATTTATAACATTATACAAATAATGAAAGCAGTTTCAAATACAGTATATGTAATTAAATTATTTATTGTATAAAAATATTCTTTACGTTATATTATTCTTTTAAGAAATTGTAATGCTCAGACAACTAAATGAAATTGATTTAATTTATATAAAACGAAGCGATCATATTTATGACATTTGAATTTCCCACGTATATTTATTACAAATGTGGCAACACCGTAATGACAGAGACCCTGCCCGCAACGTTCTCCGGGAGCGTAGGTCTAGTGTGACGTCACGGTAGCCTAGTTGGGTTAGGTTTTACGCTGGAAATTCTAACGAAAAATTTTTTGTTTGACGATTAATGTTTTTCCCATTGTATCTGCTGCATTGAGCGACGTGAAGAGCTAACGCAGTGGCGAACAGTAATCGTATTTCGTAAACTGTTCGATCGCGAGACTTCGCGCTATCGGCGTATATGAGATTTTAAACGGAAAATGAATCGACATGAGGGTACGTACGTGTGCGCTGTTTCTGACTAGCAAGTCAGCCTCCACTTCGCATGCTAAATTTATTTTATGTTGATGGCAAAATATTTGGATCATGGGGTATTTGGGGGTGTGAATAAAAAGTTTGTGCAAACTCATTGTCGAGGTTACGAAATCGACAATGTATGAGATTTTTCCTAAGACATTTCTTGTAAGCTCTGTACCAAAGGGTCTAATGTCAGAGGCCAGATGGCAGCACTTATAAAAATTTTACTCCAATTTCTTGGAGTTTATAATGTTCTTTTACGAATATACTAAACTTTTTGCAATGTCATCATCTTTTACTATCTTATTTATGTAAAATAAATAAAATGTAGGGA